CGTCTCGGCGAATATTTCGCGGCGAACAATATCTCCGACGCAGCACGCAAAAGGGCCATACTCAACTCTGTCGTTGGTTCACAAACATATAAGCTGATTAGCGATCTTCTTGCCCCTAAGAAACCAAACGAAGCTACATATCAAGAACTAGTGGACAGACTTGAGAAGCATTTCAAACCCACAAAGTCTAGCATCATTGCTCGCTTTCAATTCAACAGCCGCTGTCGGCGATCTGGTGAATCAATCGCCGAATATTTAGCAGCACTACGGGCACTGGCCAGTGACTGCAAGTTTGGCCAAAACCTTGATGAAATGCTGAGAGACAGACTTGTGTGTGGCGTGCAGAATGAACGCATCCAGAAATCCCTGCTTGCCCAACCAGAGGACAAACTTGACCTCAAGCGCACAGTGGAACTTGCACAATCAATGCAGCTCGCAGGTGATCAGGCAAAGATGTTGTCAGCCTCTACCAGCACAATGGCTGAATCAAATACCACTGTCAACGCTTTCAAAAAGAAACAAGCTCAACGCCCAAACAGACCAACATGGTCAAATCAACGGCAGACATCTGCACGCAGTAGTTCTACACAGCAGCAAAAGCCCAGAAAACCTTGTGGAAATTGTGGAACTTTTCACAAGAGGCGCGAATGCCCAGCCTATGGCAAGACTTGCCACAAATGTAACAAAAAGAATCACTATGCTGATTACTGCAGAAGCAGCCGCCACGTCTACACAGTAAACCCCGATTCATACTCGGAGGAAGACGAACCTGCCGTGGATGAGCAAGAATTATTTTACGTTCGAGCCGTGGACAACACCAACTTGAACTTGAAACATGACATCCACGCTACGCTTGTGGTGAATAACACACACGTTCCTGTCCAACTTGACACTGGTGCACGTTGTAACGTCCTGCCCATGAATGTTTACAATGTCATCGCACCACCTAAGTCCATCGATAATTCAAAGTCAACCAAGCTCATCGCTTATGGAGGAACCGAGCTCCACACAGTTGGACTAGCTACACTGCCATGTCGCGTTGACTCATCGCTGACTGACCACAATATTGACTTTCACATTGTTGACACACAAGTGAAAGCTATCCTTGGCTTAACCGATTGCCTCCGTCTAGGCCTGCTGTCTGTCAATAACTTGGTTTACCATGTCTCCAATGACACCACATCGCCTCAAGTCTTCAAAGACTACGAAGACCTGTTTGACAGCTCGCTCGGGTCACTACCAGTCATCTACACCATGACCATAGACCCCAATGCTACGCCGGTTGTCCGACCCCCACGTCGCATCCCTGCTGCAATGCAAGACAAGGTCAAGTCCGAACTGCAGCGGATGACTACCCTAGGCGTGATCACTCCAGTCTCCGAACCGACAGACTGGGTTTCCTCCATGGTCGCGACTCATAAGAAAAACAGCGAAGAAATCCGCTTATGCATCGACCCTCGCGACCTTAACGAAGCACTGAAACGCCCACACCACCCTACCCGAACAGTAGAGGAAGTCGCTGCCAAGATGGATGGTGCGACAGTTTTCTCAGTGCTTGATGCTAAATGCTCGTTCTGGCAGATCCCCTTGGATTACGAATCATCACTGCTGACTACATTCAGCACGCCATATGGCAGATACCGCTATCTTCGCATGCCCTACGGCCTCTGTTCTGCCTCCGATGTGTACCAGAGAACCATGGAGCAGATATTCGCCGATCTGCCATGCTCCATCATCGTAGATGACATACTAGTTGGTGGACGCACTAAAGAGGAACATGATCGAAACCTCAAAACTGTCCTTGATCGGATACGCAAAATCAACATGCGCCTCAACCCTACAAAGTGCCGCTTCGGTCTTGAACAAGTCTCATATGTCGGTCACGTCTTCACCGCCAGTGGTCTTAAGCCTGACCCAGCCAAAGTCAGTGCTATCACCGACATGCCTCCACCCAACGACGTTACTGCCCTACAACGCTTTCTTGGCATGGTGACATACCTGGCCAAGTTTGTACCCAACTTGAGCGACTTAACAGCCCCACTACGCGAGCTCACACATAGTGACATCCATTGGTGCTGGCTAGAGCAACACAATGCCGCATTCCTAGCAATCAAGGACAAGATTGCTAATGCGCCGACACTCACGTACTTTGATGTCCGCAAGCCAGTCACGTTGACCTGCGATGCCTCCAAGTTTGGCCTTGGCGCAGCCTGCCTACAAGAGGGTGCCCCTGTCGCGTATGCTTCACGTACCATGACTGACACTGAACAACGCTACGCACAGATTGAAAAAGAACTGCTTGCAGTTGTGTTTGCTTGCACCAAGTTCCACGACTACATATACGGTAAAGACATCGTAGTCGAAACTGACCACCAACCATTGGTCACCATCGTCAAAAAGCCTCTGCTGAGTGCCCCTGCGCGGCTTCAACGCATGCTTCTCCGGTTACAGAGGTATAACATCACCCTCGTGTACAAGAAAGGAAAAGAATTGTTCCTTGCCGACACTTTGTCACGTGCACCCTTGACAACGACCGGTACTGAAACTGATGACCTGCAAGTCATGACCCTCCTGTCAATCTCTGACATGCGACTTGAACAGCTCAAGAAAGCAACTGCCTGTGACTCTGCCATGCAACAGCTCACTGATGTCATCAGTCGCGGATGGCCTTCGCATATCAACAATGCCCCACCAAAGGCCCACCCCTACTTCGCGTTCAGAGATGAACTGGTTCTCGACCGCGGTATCATCTTAAAGGGACATAAGGCCATCATTCCCAAGTCACTACGTGCAGAATACATCCAAATACTGCATGAAGGTCACCCAGGCATCGAGGCTACCAAACGCAGAGCCAGAGATGTAGTTTACTGGCCATCAATGTGCCTTGATATCGAGCAGTCCGTCTCTGGATGCACAGTTTGCAACGCTACCAAAGCCCATCAACAGAAAGAACCACTGAAAAGCTACCCCCCACCCAGCCTACCATGGGAACACATTGGAGTTGACCTATTCCATTGGAACGGTATGGATTACCTAGCCCTTGGTGACTCATACTCCGGCTGGTTTGACTTCGCTTCACTCGACAACACCTGTGCCTCTACAGTCATTGAGGTACTCAAGAGACAATTTTCCATCCATGGAATCCCCCGCATCGTTATCAGTGACAACGCACGACAATTTGATTGCTTCGCCTTCAAACAATTCGCACAGTCATGGGGCTTCCAGCATACAACCAGCAGTCCCCATTTTCCCCAGTCCAATGGCCTTGCAGAAAGCTCTGTCAAGCGCGCCAAACAACTCCTCGAGAAGACAAAACGCGACGGTTCAGACCTCTACCGAAACCTGCTGAACATTCGCAATGTCCCAACCAACCCCCAGCTTGGCTCACCTTCCCAACGTCTCATGTCACGGCGTCTTCGCACAACCATCCCTACCCCGACGCCACTCCTTAAACCTGCCATTTACACACGCGTCACAGCACAGTTACGCAAGAGGCAACAGCAACAGAAGTCTTCATATGACAAATCTGCCAAGCCCCTCCGACCACTGAAACCAGGGCAAGTTGTCCGTCTACAATCACCCAAAGGGCACGATCAGCTTGGAATTGTCCAAAAGCATTCCAGAAACCCCAGATCGTACATCGTCAATGCCCAAGGCACACTCTACCGCCGCAATCGGAGACACTTATTGCCAGTCCCTGAACCACCTCCACAGCAACAACACTCACCTGACTTCTACTTACCGCCACAGGATCCACTGCCTCAGCCTGCCATCCCCCACGCACCTCCACCACAGCCAGTTCTCACTCGATCCGGTCGCATCTCGAAGCCAAATCCTAAATACACTTAACAGTTTTGTGTGACTGTTATTGCTTTGACCACACTGGATTTGTGTTGTTGATCCAAATTTCATGCTGATAACTTTGGACTGTCCTCGACTACTGGACTGTTAGTAACTACATTTGCCTACTCAACATGTGTTATGTGTTGTACACTCCAAAGATGAGGGCAGAATAATCCCTTGTACACACATCGAGTACTGAGACAGTCTATCTCAGTACTCAAGGCATTTGAGTTTTGTTTGTTGTTTTTTTACTATATTATTGGTTTAACCCTCTGTTTGTTTTTCAGAGGAAAGGATAGTAATTGTTTATCTTGGTACATTTACATAACCAGTGTGTCTTTTAAATATTCATTAAGTGTTTTCAAATCAGTGAAATACTCAGACTTTAAATTACCAGACTCCAGTTTACAAATTCACTGATCAAACAAATGTTTATTTCATAAAGCTGTTTTATTCAAAATGTTAAAACTAAACTTAGAAGAGAGGATGTAGCGATTCCCATCTAATCGATGCATTGTAGCAAGTCTAATCCATGTATCCCAGCATGCATCTCTCCTAACATGGCCGCTTACATGTTCGTATGTGAACTCGTGTTGTCGTCTAATAAACCTGGAATAGTTCCCAACATATCGGAGTCTATAACTTTCTTCAGTGACATAATAGTGTTACTTAAAGTAGCCAGGCAAGGCCATGGGAAAGTCCCTCTAAAACAAAGGGTTTGGTTAAATCAAAGACCCAAACAGTGGCCTTGCAGAGGTCATACCAATTAATACCAGCCAATTTCGATCGTGTATCCTTGTGGATAGGAAACTTTTAGAAAAATTTCATTTCCCAAATATACAATAAAGTACTGCAACTGGAAATATAATGTCACACAATACAAGTACGAACAGATGCATGCACATGACCATTCTCACCAATGTTAAGCTTTCTGTCTACGTCCGTTTAGATCTTACCAAGGTGTGTTTTTCTCATCGATATGCATTCTTTCGTGTCTTTTTAGATTACGTTTGGCAAAATGGGCTTTACCACAGGTCTCGCAAACAAACGGTTTCTCAACGCTGTGAATCATTTCGTGCCTGTTTCGAGTACTTTGACCAGAAAATGCTTTACCACAGATTTTACAGACAAATGGTTTTTCTCCAGTATGCACCCTTTCACGTCCCTGTGGATGACATTTGGCAGAAAAGGCTTTACCACATGTCACACAAACAAATGGTTTATCGATGTGCTTTTTTGCATGCCTGTTTCGACTGTGTTAGAAACGGCTTTACCGTAGGTCTTACAAAAATTGTTTTATCACCGATGTGTATATTTTTTCATGTCCACTTAGATTACCTTTGTCAGAAAAGGCTTTACCACAGGTCTCACAAACAAATGGTTTTCACCGGTGTGTCTTCCTTCATGTATTTTTAGATGACATTTCTCAAGAAAGGCTTTACAGTCATAGAAACATAATGGTTTACCAATGTGCATTTTTACATGCCTGTTTCGACTACCTGTGTTAGAAAAGGCTTTACAGAAGGTCTCGCAAACAAATGGTTTCTCACTACTGTGAATCATTTCATGCCTGTCTCGAGTACTTTGACCAGAAAAGGCTTTACCACAAATTTCACAGACAAATGGTTTTTTCGACTATCTGTGTCGACTACCTTTGACACAGGTCTCGTAAACAAATGGTTTTTCACCGGTGTGCATTCTTTCATGTCTAGTGAGATCACCCTTGCCAGAAAAGGCTTTACCACAGGTCTCACAAACAAATGGTTTTTCACCGGTTTGTCTTCTTTCATGTATTTTTAGAGTACATTTCTGAAGAAAGGCTTTACCACATGCAGGTCACACAAACAATGGTTTACCGATGTGCATTTTTACATGCCTGTTTCGACTACCTGTGTTAGAAAAGGCTTTACCACAGGTCTCGCAAACAAATGGTTTCTCATTAGTGTGAATTCGTTCCTGTCTAATTAGATGACCTTGGTTGGAGAAGGCTTTACCACAGGTCACACAAACAAATGGTTTACCGATGTGCATTGTTTTGCATGCCTGTTTCGACTACCTGTGTTAGAAAAGGCTTTACCACAGGTCTCACAAACAAATGGTTTTTCACCGGTGTGCATTCTTTCATGTCTAGTGAGTTCACTCTGGCTAGAAAAGGCTTTACCACAGATTTCACAGACAAATGGTTTTTCTCCAGTATGTAGCCTTTCATGTACACGTAGATTACCTTTGACAGAAAGGCTACACCACAGGTCTCACAAACAAATGGTTTTTCTCCAGTGTGCACCCTTTCATGTTCCTGTAGATAACACTTGGCAGAAAAGGCTTTGCCGCAGGTCTCACAAACATATGGTTTAACACCGATTTTTTTTTTTTTAATGTCTACTTATAGACAACCTTTGTCGGAAAAGGCTTTACCACAGGTCTCGTAAACAAATGGTTTTTCACCGGTGTGCATTCTTTCATGTCTAGTGAGATCACCCTTGCCAGAAAAGGCTTTACCACAGGTCTCACAAACAAATGGTTTTTCTCCAGTATGTAGCCTTTCATGTACATGTAGATTACCTTTGACAGAAAGGCTTTACCACAGGTCTCACAAACAAATGGTTTTTCACCGGTGTGTCTTCTTTCATGTATTTTTAGAGTACATTTCTGAAGAAAGGCTTTACCACATGCAGGTCACACAAACAATGGTTTACAGATGTGCATTTTTACATGCCTGTTTCGACTACCTGTGTTAGAAAAGGCTTTACCGCAAGTCTCACAAACAAATGGTTTCTCATTAGTGTGAATTCGTTCATGTCTACTTAGACTACAACTGAACGAAAAGGCTTTACCGCAGGTCTCACAAATAAATGGTTTTTCACCGGTGTGCATTCTTTCATGTCTAGTGAGTGCATTCTGGTTAGAAAAGGCTTTACCACAGATTTCACAAACAAAAGGTTTTTCTCCAGTATGCACCCTTTCATGTACATGTAGACTGCCTTTGACAGGAAAGGCTTTACCACAGGTCTCACAAACAAATGGTTTTTCTCCAGTGTGCACCCTTTCATGTCCCTGTAGATGACATTTGGCAGAAAAGGCTTTACCGCAGGTCTCACAAACATATGGTTTAACACCGGTGTGTATTCTTTCATGTATTTCTAGATCACCTTTGACAGAAAAGGCTTCACCACAGGTCTCATTAACAAATGGTTTTTCACCGGTGTGTCTTCTTTCATGTATTTTTAGATTAAATTTCTCAAGAAAGGCTTTACCACAGGTCTCACAAACAAATGGTTTTTCTCCAGTGTGCACCCTTTCATGTCTATTGAGATCACCCTTGCCAGAACAGGCTTTACCACAGATTTCACAGACAAATGGTCTTTCTCCAGTATGCACCCTTTCATGTATCTGTAGATTACCTTTGACAGAAAAGGCTTTACCACAGGTCTCACAAACAAATGGTTTTTCTCCAGTGTGCACCCTTTCATGTCCCTGTAGATGACATTTGGCAGAAAAGGCTTTACCGCAGGTCTCACAAACATATGGTTTAACACCGGTGTGTATTTTTGTATGTCTACGTAGATAACCTTTGTCAGAAAAGGCTTTACCACAGGTCTCACAAACAAATGGTTTCTCACCGCTGTGTATTCTTTCATGTATTTTTAGATGACATTGCTTACGAAAGGCTTTACCACAGGTCTCACAAACAAATGGTTTTTCTCCAGTATGCACCCTTTCATGTACCTGTAGACTACCTTTGACAGAAAAGGCTTGATCACAGGTCTTACAAACAAATGGTTTCTTATTGATGTACATTCTTATGTCTATTTAGATCACCTTTGCGAGACAGGATTTACCACAGGTCTCACAAACATATGGCCTCTCACCTATGTACCTCCTTTCGTGTCTGCTTAGATGTCCTTTTAGAGAAAAGGCTTTTCCACAAGCCTCATAATTATATAGTTTTTCATCACCACTGTGGATCCACCCTCTTAATGGTTGGACCTCTCTAATAACACAGGCCTTATTACAACAATTCTTGCAAAATATTGTTTTACACAAGTAGGCCTACATGTACACGTATGCTGTCTCTTGCAGAAGTGTAGATTCTGTCGCTCAGGTTTTTTTTAACACAAGTCTCGCAAGAAAACACTTTCCCACCAGTCTCCACTTCCTCTGATGACAATTTTGCTTCAAGCTTCATGTGAAGAATGGACCCTCTTGTGCATTATTGGACTCCGTTGATAAGAAAGGCTTTACAACGGGTATCGCAACAACAAAGTTTCTCCCAAGACCCAAGTACATGCATGCAGTCTGTTGAGCCTATGGAGATTTCGTCCGTCAGTGGGTTGACCACAAGCTTCACAAGAAAACAGTGTCTCACTTAAAGTGGACCCTCTGGTGACAATTTATCATCAAGCTGGATGAGAAGAGTTTGGTGTAGCGAAAAACAAATGTAACAGTTTTACTTGCATCTCCTCGTTTTGGAACCTCTTGAGGGCTGATAGAAACATCAAATATTACAACCAACCAATTTTTTTTGGCAGCATGTTTCAAGCTTATGAAGCATCATCACATTGGCCGGACGTGTTGATTTTCCTCAGGTTTCTCCGTAATTGGATCTGATTCACGAGATGCCACAACGGAAGTCAATTTGTAGTCGGTGTTGTCAAAAAGCAGATTGACACCCTAAGTTCAGGAAAAAAAAATAAAACCAAAATGAACCGGTTCTAATGCTTTGTTGAATAATACCCAACGTGACGTGTTTGGGCCACAATTTGATTAAGACGAGAGAGAGACGAAGAAATTCAGAACTTTTTGGTTTTCTTTAATCAACTGTAGCCTTTTTGTGCTCGTACATATATTTTTTTTATGAATGACAAACATGGTTTATGGTGCGTGTACATGGTATACAAAAAAATATGAGTACAGTTCCTATGGGCATGTTTATTTCTTTAAAATGCTTCCAATTTCAAATCTAGCAGCACTGATCCTTGTGTAACTTTATTGTGTTTGATTGATGGTCCTGGGTGCATACCTATGTTCCTCAATACTAATGTTCCTCAAAATCCTCACCCTAACCCTAACCCTAAGGATTTCGGGGAACATCAGAGTTAGGGAACATTTATAGCGGGAGTATCAAGCAGACCTCGTTGGTCCTTCATACAAGGTGGAGAACAGAATTCAGGCCTTGCACCATACATGTATATCAATCTCAATTTTTTGTTTGTTTTTGGAGAAATGTTAGGAATAGGACTATCAATTGGGATTCCGATTTCCAACCACATCAGCCATTTTTTTTCAAATGACAAAGGATTTTACACAGCTTACATTTAACAGTAACGAAAAATGTTGTTGAGGACACAAGGGAATACATTATACAATAAAAATCATGGGGGTTTAGGCTATAGATTAGGAGTATTTACTTTGTAGTTTTGTTTTCATATTTCCAAAATATTTACTTACTGTATGTGGACATTTTTTTTTAGTTATGTGTGGATTTGTGTGTGTGTGTGGTTGTTTTTTTTTTTGGGGGGGGGGATGCTGCTAGCAAAGCACTTGAGGCAAACAAAATTTAAAAGGTGCATGCCAAGTTAGGGGTCGCGCCACATTAGCGGTGGCACACGCCACGTTAGGGTTGGCCCGTGCCACATTAGGGCAGGTCCACACCACGTTATGGGTGGACTGCACAACATTAGGGGTGGACCGCACAATATTAAGGGGTGGCCTGCGCAACATTAGGGGTGGCCTGCGCAACATTAGGGGTGGCCAGCGCCTGCGCAACATTAGGGGTGGCCTGCGCCTGCGCAACATTAGGGGTGGCCTGCGCAACATTGGGGGTGGTCTGCCTCTCTTTAGGTGTGGCCTGCTCCGTGGTGCCAACAAATAATGTCTTTATTGAGGATTCACCATTAGGATGGATGATATGTTACCTTATTTCAGTCAACTTGATCAATTCAGAATCAGCTGATTCCACACAGGATCAGGACAGGACTCCGTTGTCCGCAGTTCACCACCTGGAGAATGCATTGAGAACATTCAAATGAAACACTCAATCCAATTGAATCCACCTGCTACAAAATGTATTTTTACTCAATTATTTAATGTATGTAAATGACAGAATTGATCGTATCACAATTATGAATCATACACATGTACCACATGTACAACGTTATCGGGATGTCGACCGGAAAGCTCGAGAGCTATATTAACTGTGTTATTTGCAGCAGAAATGATGCCTCACTTATAAATACTGAGGACATCCAACAGCCGTTGGTGTCCTACTCAGCATAAATAATCAAGGCATTTTTTGATCGGCACAAGCACACGACAATAACCACAACACAGCCATGACAGTATTGGTCAAAAATGCGCCCGCATTAATGCACTTTTGACCAATACTGAGTGACAGGCAACAGCCGTACGAATGAACATTGTAAACATTTGATGCACGCAAGTGAGGGCGGGATTTGCAGCACGTTGCTTTCGTGAACAATGGCAGCCAAAAATCGTCCCAATTCAACCCAAAATTACAAGATAACTAGACCTCTGTAGGTAATGAATTCATCGTTTTGTTGCTATGTATTAAGCAGCACTTCGTAGACGGCATGGTCAGATTGTGTGAGTATAAAGTGACAAAATACATGAAGTTGCAATTTCAAATTGATTTTCGGCTCCCCTAGCATAAGTAGCAATGCGACCAACATTCCATGCACAGGGCATACAATGTGTAGCTGTCTAACTCCATGGTCTAAAATGAGGTAGTCCAGTATGACAGCCACATTTATGGGGCTGTTACAGGCAGGGTGACCGTAAGGTCATGGCCAAATTCTGCTAAATGCACTTCAACAATCTGTCAGATTGATCAGATATCTGCCAAATCCCCCATAATTACTCGAAGTACATGATAAACACTTAAAATAACAATACATGCAGATGGTGTTGTGGTTGTTGCCTTTGTAAACAGTCTAGGCCTATACACATGTAGTTGCATATGGATGTTTTGAAATTGCATAAAGTTCAGGCAAAACAACCGGTTGCGTCATGACAAAGTCCAGTTCCAAGTGAACCTCAGGCGACCTACGCCAGCCAACCTGTCCCATTATGCAAGGGTTTGTTTGAAAAGATTGAAGCTTTTTAAACCAAATTAGGGGCCCGGCACCACTTTTTTCGACTCGCCTGTTTTACTGCCAGGCCAAATAACAGGCATGCAACTTGGAATTAACAAAAAAACGAGGAAATACCAAATTTTACAAGACTTTGTACAGTGTTTTTTAATTTTAAATGGCAAAAGTCTGAAGTGAAAAACGAGGAAATCAGCTGATCCGAGGAAGAGTTGCATGCCTGAAATAACCATTTGTGCAGAATTCTGCAAGAAATCTGCAAAAAAAAAATCCATTCTGTCAAATTTTCTGTCCAATTTGTTTTTTAACAAAAGAAATCCGTCAAAGTTAACTGAAAATCGGAACGGTCACGTCACCCTTCATGCCCTCATTACAGACACACTCTCGGAAAAAATGGTCCGGATAACATTGTTAACTTATTTCTTTTGATGGGACTGCGGTTTGGCCGAAGTCAATTGAGCGTGATCGGCTGACTGATAAGGTTTACGTACAAATCCCCGAACCAACGAGGTTTTTGTATAGAAAGCATCCGGACCACATTTTGCGAAAGTGTGTCCGTAATGCTTGTCACAAGTCCCGTGTGTGATTTGTAAACAAAAATTGTCAATTTTTCGACGTCCAATGACTCCCATCCCGAAATGTTTGGCCCCCGTATTTCACACGTGTTATTTTGATATAGTTGGGTACCTAAAGATAGGATCAAACCTCTGAAATATCAAAAAAAATGTGAAATTACAAGCATTTCGCTCACCAAATCTAGTATCCGGAAGCGCTAGCGACGACCGTGTGTGCTTTGTAGCTGTCGATTGAGGGCGCTTGCCACAAAACCCGTTACGGAATAATAATTGAGACGCAACATGCATATGCGCAGACAATTAACGGTCGGTTACTGTGTAGTAACATACATAACATACTTAGAATGGCTAAACCACATAATCATCACTAAAAAGAGACCAAATTACCAATAATTGAACACATTTTCATTCTGCAGATAATGATAATGTGCGCATATATCGTTGTCAGCTAAATTTTGTCCCATCCATACACGATGTTTTGCAATATATATCATAAAAGTGGTGCCCTTGTTTTGTGACGTACTGTTTTGGGTTCTTTTTACTGAATTGCGCACATGTACCGCCCTTAAAAGCACTATTTATTGGCGTTTGTGTGCATAATCGTCGTTTCTGAACAGCGCCCCCATCGACAGTTGGAATAAGCCCCCCCCCCGCGCTTTTTGATTTTACGAAGCCAAATGTCTAGAGAAAAAACCTGTCTGCCTTTCACCACGGATGAGCAAGTGCCCTTTTCACAATTTTTTACATCCCCCCCCCCCCTCCCCAATAAAAATGACCGCCTGCTACGCCACTGAGATGCTTTAGGTCATAAATTGTACGACTCTCTGACACTCCGGTGTGGCAGGTATTCTGTCCCCCCTGGTAAATGTGTCCCCCCGGACAGATTTACCGGGTCGCGACCCGGTAAATCTGTCCGGGGGACACATTTACCTAGATAGATCTGTCCCCCTCCCTGGTAAATATGTCCCCCTGCCCAACGTTGAAAGTGTCCCCCTGGTAAATGTGTCCCCGTGCAAGTATCACCCATGCGATGATACGAGTCGTGCTCGTGAGCGCGCATCGCCGCAAGTACATGCTGCAAGATTTGTGGCAGTGTTTATCGCATGTGTACATAATGCTATCCCGCTACACTAAGGAAATTCATCCAATAGGAAATCTCGTTACGCGCTACGATGGGAACGCAGACCAATCCAAGTAGGCGTTATATCAATGAGGCGTTCACCGTAGAATAGGGCCACTGTAGTGCATGACCGGTCATGCTTCTACAGTGGCCCTATTCTACGGTGGCCCTTGCTGTATTTTCACCGTACTCAGTCCGAATCGATCGAAACATATTGTGTTCACATTTCACATCTAAGAAAGAGACCAAAAAGTTAATTGTTTTCATCTTCATGAAGGTCAGACTAAAAAGTAAAAAATGTATACCTTGTTTGTAGACTGAATTCATCAAAACAATATAGAGAATGGCCTTCTGCGTTGCAAAACTAGGGGGACAAAAAAACCTGGAGGGGACAGAATTACCTGAAGGGGGACAGAATTAACGGGCCGGGGAGGACACTTTTACCTAGGTAATTCTGTCCCCCCGGACACTTTTAACGGGGGACAGAATTACTGCCACACCGGTTAATTTGTTAAGTTTATTAAACTGTCCATGATTTCCGGACAACTGAGGGGGCTGTTGCTGTGATTTGGGGAGATACTTTCAGTTTAGAGATTAATTTTCTTTTCAAACTCTGAATCTCAAACTTGCTTATTGAAAACATTCTGTGCAAAATGTTTGCTCACAGGATGACTGGCACGCACAATCACAAAAGACAAGATAGAGCATAAACTATACGACAGTCAATTATCAAAAATGCTGGCCGCTTTTTAATGCAGAAATAGATGTGACATTAGTGAGTTTCTGCCTGAAATGACACATTGTTGCTTAAGAATATGGACATTATTATTTGCCTGGTCAAAACGAAAAGAGCACTTCAATTGCCATTGAAATTTGCAAAACAGCGATGATTGCAAAAAGGTTAAAATGGACACAAAGGTACCTTTTCAATGATTGTATTTAAAATATAAAAAAACTGTATCCGATACATTGGCCCAGGAAAACTTCACACTGACATAAATATCGAGATTCGAATACCACTAATCATGATTTAGTACACTATCTGATCAGTGCAGTGTGAGATTAGTGGATCCTATCACACGTTAGCCCATGAATATACTAAATTCGCATTAGAATAACACCCAAAAGGCATTCCAAAATACCCTTAAAAATTTCCAAATTCAGTACCTTCCCCGATGACAATTTGGTGCTGATGGTAAAACTCGATGGACCTAGAGTTTAATGGTCCATTGGCGGAATTTACGGGTGGTCCGTGACGGTAACATTAAGAAATAATAATGCAAAACATGGGTTTAAAATACTACATTGTACTACTACAGTCATTATAGAGGGTGAATCAAAAAAGCGAAACCGAGATATTATTGCTAATTGGAACAGAAGTAGGGCACATGTGAATCAAAGGGAGATATCCTCTGTTAGGGTTGAATCTCGTCTTTATCATGACGTGTCCTTATACATTCACGGTTGACTGAGCAATGACTAATTTTATGAAAGGGTCCATTGAGAGACTTGCGCCACTTTTCACGTTGAGATCTGTTTTCCCCCACACCTGCCCTAATGGGCAACCATAGCCTTTCACACTGAGACAAAAGACACAACACAAACCACAATTGGAAAGTGGCACAAGTCTCTAAATAGACCCTGTTATAAAATGGGCTCTGCTCAGTCAACCGTGTATGTAATGACATGACCATGGTGTCATTTTAAAGAGGAGACTCCACCCTAAGAGAGGATATCTCCATTTGATTCACATGTGCCATACTTCTGTTCCAATAAGCAATATTATCTCGGTTTCGTTTTTTTATCCACCCTGTACAACAGATCACGACACTCAGTTCAAAGGTCATAGCACTCGTAATTTAAACACCATAAAACAGTACATCAGCTGGTATCCAATAGATGGAATATGACAGATCACATAACACTTTATTGGGTAGCCAGACTGATTGTCCTTGTCCTCAACTTAAGGTGTTTAAAAGTACAACACATTATTGATTGTACAATAAGATAAAAACAACAAAGTGCCTGCAATAACTACAAAATAACTTGAAAACAGAATCGGTAATACATTGTCTTGACTTGTCAATTGGACAAAAGTAAGCATTGTCTCCAAAAACATAATTTACAATATCTGAAACTAGTTAAGTGTGAATCAAGAATTAGAACACTTTAAGTCAACATATAACCTAGATATATCTAGCAGACCTGCTACATCAGCTAAGTCACCATATTTGTAGGTGGAAGCTATACAAAAGAATACAATGATTCTTAAATGAACGGTTCTATAAAATATCAATTACCTGTAGATACTGATATACATGTACATGTAATAGCAACTTCACTTCACATCACCAACGATGTTTATGGTTCCCCCATGATTCAATTCAAGTTGACTACCAAACCTATCTTGCGAGATCTCTTCTGTTTGAATCATTAAAAGTTTAAGAGATGTAGACAACTTCATTCACAGAAATGAAGTCAAATGATCGAAATAAAGAACAACCAAATAAAAGAATGAATTTCCACTAACATAACTACAGAGCAAAAGTAGCTCTAGGAACGAAGTTTCAATTTTACAACTTAACATAACAAAATGATAACTCGCCCGATATGGCTACTACATCTTTTTGCCAATTGGCTAAATATCAATATGACCGCTCGACCTTCCCCATGATGTCATTGTGTAATTTGAATATAAACTTTGCGGTGAATCTGCTGACCAGCAGATCTCTTCCAGATCCCAACAACCTCCAAAACCTAATATATTTTATACGTCTGGTTCTTTTCAGAACCATTCTCCTCATTGAGAAATTATTTGCACATGGTGTTTCCGCAAACCTTTCATTATTCATTATCTGATAGATTTGTTTCCACAGTGAGTGGAGGTGACATAATAGTGTTACTTAAAGTAGCCAGGCAAGGCCATGGGAAAGTCCCTCTAAAACAAAGGGTTTGGTTAGATCAAAGACCCAAACAGTGGCCTTGCAGAGGTCATACCAATTAATACCAGCCAATTTCGATCGTGTACCCTTGTGGATAGGAAACTTTTAGGAAATTTCTATTTCCCAAATATACAATAAAGTACTGCAACTGGAAATATAATGTCACACAATGCAAGTACGAACAGATGCATGCACATGAACATTCTCACCAATGTTAAGCTTTCTGTCTACGTTCGTTTAGATCTTACAAAGGTGTGTTTTTCTCATCGATATGCATTCTTTCGTGTCTTTTTGGATTACGTTTGGCAGAATGGGCATAACCACAGGTCTCGCAAACAAACCGTTTCTCAACGCAATGAATCATTTCGTGCCTGTTTCGAGTACTTTGACCAGAAAATGCTTTACCACAGATTTTACAGACAAATGGTTTTTCTCCAGTATGCACCCTTTCACGTCCCTGTGGATGACATTTGGCAGAAAAGGCTTTACCACATGTCACACAAACAAATGGTTTACCGATGTGCTTTTTTGCATGCCTGTTTCGACTGTGTTAGAAACGGCTTTACCGTAGGTCTTACAAAAATTGTTTTATCACCGATGTGTATATTTGTTCATGTCCACTTAGATTACCTTTGTCCGAAAAGACTTTACCACAGGTCTCACAAACAAATGGTTTTTCACCGGTGTGTCTTCTTTCATGTATTATTAGATGACATTTCTCAAGAAAGGCTTGACAGTCATAGAAACATAATGGTTTACCAATGTGCATTTTTACATGCCTGTATCGACTACCTGTGTTAGAAAAGGCTTTACCGCAGGTCTCACAAACAATTGGTTTCTCACTACTGTGAATCATTTCATGCCTGTCTCGAGTACTTTGACCAGAAAAGGCTTTACCACAAATCTGTGTCGACTACCTTTGACACAGGTCTCGTAAACAAATGGTTTTTCACCGGTGTGCATTCTTTCACGTCTAGTGAGATCACCCTTGCCAGAAAAGGCTTTACCACAGGTCTCACAAACAAATGGCTTTCACCGGTTTGTCTTCTTTCATGTATTTTTAGAGTACATTTCTGAAGAAAGGCTTTACCACATGCAGGTCACACAAACAATGGTTTACCGATGTTCATTTTTACATGCCTGTTTCGACTACCTGTGTTAGAAAAGGCTTTACCACAGGTCTCGCAAACAAATGGTTTCTCATTAGTGTGAATTCGTTCATGTCTAATTAGATGACCTTGGTTGGAGAAGGCTTTACCACAGGTCACACAAACAAATGGTTTACCGATGTGCATTGTTTTACATGCTTGTTTCGACTACCTGTGTTAGAAAAGGCTTTACCACAGGTCTCGCAAACAAATGGTTTCTCGTTAGTGTGAATTCGTTCATGTCTAATTAGGTGACCTTGGTTGGAGAAGGCTTTACCACAGGTCTCACAAACAAATGGTTTTTCACCGGTGTGCATTCTTTCATGTCTAGTGAGTTCACTCTGGCTAGAAAAGGCTTTACCACAGATTTCACAGACAAATGGTTTTTCTCCAGTATGTAGCCTTTCATGTACATGTAGATTACCTTTGACAGAAAGGCTATACCACAGGTCTCACAAACAAATGGTTTTTCACCGGTGTGTCTTCTTTCATGTATTTTTAGAGTACATTTCTGAAGAAAGGCTTTACCACATGCAGGTCACACAAACAATGGTTTACCGATGTGTATTTTTACATGCCTGTTTCGACTACCTGTGTCAGAAAAGGCTTTACCGCAAGTCTCACAAACAAATGGTTTCTCATTGGTGTGAATTCGTTCATGTCTACTTAGACTATAACTGAACGAAAAGGCTTTACCGCAGGTCTCACAAATAAATGGTTTTTCACCGGTGTGCATTCTTTCATGTCTATTGAGTTCATTCTGGTAAGAAAAGGCTTTCCCACAGATTTCACAAACAAATGGTTTTTCTCCAGTATGCACCCTTTCATGTACATGTAGACTGCCTTGGACAGAAAAGGCTTTACCACAGGTCTCACAAACAAATGGTTTTTCACCGGTGTGCATTCTTTCATGTCTAGTAAGTTCATTCTGGTTAGAAAAGGCTTTCCCACAGATTTCACAAACAAATGTTTTTTCTCCAGTATGCACCCTTTCATGTACATGTAGACTGCCTTGGACAGAAAAGGCTTTACCACAGGTCTCACAAACAAATGGTTTTTCTCCAGTGTGCACGCTTTCATGTCCCTGTAGATGACATTTCCTACGAAAGGCTTTACCACAGGTCTCACAAACAAATGGTTTTTCTCCAGTGTGCACCCTTCCATGTCTAGTGAGATCACCCTTGCCTGAACAGGCTTTACCACATATTTTACAGACAAATGGTTTTTCTCCAGTATGCACCCTTTCATGTACATGTAGACTGCCTTTGACAGAAAAGGCTTTACCACGGGTCTCACAAACAAATGGTTTAACACCGATGTGTATTTTTTCATGTCCACTTAGAGTACTTTTAACAGAAAAGGCTTTACCACAGGTCTCACAAACAAATGGTTTAACACCGATGTGTATTTTTTCATGTCCACTTAGAGTACTTTTAACAGAAAAGGCTTTACCACAGGTCTCACAAACAAATGGTTTCTCACAGCTGTGTATTCTTTCATGTATTTTTAGATGATATTTCTTACGAAAGGCTTTACCAAAGGTCTCGCAAACAAATGGTTTTTCACCGGTGTGCATTCTTTCATGTCTATTGAGATCACCCTTGCCAGAACAGGCTTTACCACAGATTTCACAGACAAATGGTCGTTCTCCAGTATGCACCCTTTTATGTATCTGTAGATTTCCTTTGACAGAAAAGGCTTTACCACAGGTCTCACAAACATATGGTTTAACACTGGTGTGTATTTTTGTATGTCTACGTAGTTTACCTTTGTCAGAAAAGGCTTTACCACAGGTGTCACAAACAAATGGTTTTTCACCGGTGTGTTTTCTTTCATGTATTTCTAGATCACCTTTGACAGAAAAGGCTTTACCACAGATTTCACAAACAAATGGTTTTTCTCCAGAATGCACCCTTTTATGTCGCTGTAGATCACCTTTGACAGAAAAGGCTTTGCCACAGGTCTCACAAACAAATGGTTTTTCACCTGTGTGTCTTCTTTCATGTATTTTTAGATTAAATTTCTCAAAAAAGGCTTTACCACAGGTCTCACAAACAAATGGTTTTTCTCCAGTGTGCACCCTTTCATGTCCCTGTAGATAACATTTCCTACGAAAGGCTTTACCACAGGTCTCACAAACAAATGGTTTTTCTCCAGTGTGCACGCTTTCATGTCCATGTAGATTACATTTCCTACGAAAGGCTTTACCACAGGTCTCACAAACAAATGGTTTTTCTCCAGTGTGCACCCTTTCATGTCTATTGAGATCACCCTTGCCAGACCAGGCTTTACCACAGATTTCACAGACAAATGGTCTTTCTCCAGTATGCACCCTTTCATGTCTATTTAGATTACCTTTGACAGAAAAGGCTTTACCACAGGTCTCACAAACAAATGGTTTTTCTCCAGTGTGCACCCTTTCATGTCCCTGTAGATGACATATGGCAGAAAAGGCTTTACCGCAGGTCTCACAAACATATGGTTTAACACCGGTGTGTATTTTTGTATGTCTACGTAGATAACCTTTGTCAGAAAAGGCTTTACCACAGGTCTCACAAACAAATGGTTTCTCGCCGCTGTGTATTCTTTCATGTATTTTAGATGACATTGCTTACGAAAGGCTTTACCACAGGTCTCACAAACAAATGGTTTTTCTCCAGTATGCACCCTTTCATGTACCTGTAGACTACCTTTGACAGAAAAGGCTTGATCACAGGTCTTACAAACAAATGGTTTCTTATTGATGTACATTCTTATGTCTATTTAGATCACCTTAGCGAGACAGGATTTACCACAGGTCTCACAAACATATATGGCCTCTCACCTATGTACCTCCTTTCGTGTCTGCTTAGATGTCCTTTTAGAGAAAAGGCTTTTCCACATGCCTCATAATCATATAGTTTTTCATCACCACTGTGGATCCACCCTCTTAATGGTTGGACCCCACTAATAACACAGGCCTTATTACAACAATTCTTGCAAAATATTGTTTTACACAAGTAGGCCTACATGTACACGTAGGCCTATGCAGTCTCTTGCATAAGTGTAGATTCTGTCGCTCAGTGGGTTTTTACCACAAGTCTCGCAAGAAAACACTTTCCCACCAGTCTCCACTTCCTCTGATGACAATTTTGCTTCAAGCTTCATGTGAAGAATGGACCCTCTTGTGCATGGTTGGACTCCGTTGATAAGAAAGGCTTTACAACAGGTATCGCAACAACAAAGTTTCTCCCAAGACCCCAGTACATGCATGCAGTCTGTTGAGCCTATGGAGATTTCGTCCATCAGTGGGTTGACCACAAGCTTCACAAGAAAACAGTTTCTCACTTAAAGTGGACCCTCTGGTGACAATTTATCATCAAGCTGGATGAGAAGAGTTTGGTGTAGCGAAAAACAAATGTAACAGTTTTACTTGCATCTCCTCGTTTTGAAACCTCTTGAGGGCTGACAGAAACATCAAATATTACAACCAACCAATTTTTTTTGGCAGCATGTTTCAAGCTTATGAAGCATCATCACATTGGCCGGACGTGTTTTCCTCAGGTTTCTCCGTAATTGGATCTGATTCACGAGATGCCACAACGGAAGTCAATTTGTAGTCGGTGTTGTCAAAAAGCAGATTGACACCCTAAGTTCAGGAAAAAAAAATAAAACCAAAATGAATCGGTTCTAATGCTTTGTTGAATAATACCCAACGTGACGTGTTTGGGCCACAATTTGATTAAGACGAGAGAGAGACGAAGAAATTCAGAACTTTTTGGTTTTCTGTAATCAACTGTAGCCTTTTTGTGCTCGTACATAGATTTTTTTTCATGAATGACAAACATGGTTTATGGTGCGTGTACATAGTATACAAAAAATATGAGTACAGTTCCTATGGGCACGTTTATTTCTTAAAAATGCTTCCAATTTCAAATCTAGCAGCACTGATCCTCGTGTAACTTTATTGTGTTTGATTGATGGTCCTGGCTGTGTACCTATGTTCCCCAATACCAATGTTCCCCAAAATCCTCACCCTTACCCTATCCTAACCCTAACCTTAAGGATTTCGGGGAACATCAGTGTTGGGGAACATAGGTATTGGGTAATATCGGGTAGACCCCGATGGTCCTTCATACAAGGTGGAGAACAGAATTCCGGTCTTGCACCATATATCAATCTCAATCTTTTGTTTGATTTTGGAGAAATATCACGGAATAATACTATCAATTGGGACTTTAATATACCTTTAGATGGGTCAGGTATGCACAGTTGATTCACAATATTACTGTTAACAGATCAAGGAATGATCAAGGAAAAATTGAGTGTGCTGTCTTAACTTTGAAGACAAACTCTTCAATTCTCTTGACTTGAATCAAAACAACGACTTTGTGTAATTATGCAAAACATTCAATGTAAGTTGGGTCGATGCTGACATCTTACACCTTTTATTCATTTGACATCATTTCAATCTTCCTAATCACTCAATTTCTGACATGATTTTACAGGGCATTGAGGCACTAGGAAACCACAGAGAGATTGTTCGTCTGAGTAGAGAGAAATTATGGATAAGACGTCTCCAGACCATTCAACGCCATGGTCTGAACATCCAAGAAGGAAATGACTAATAACTTTTTGTCTTTGCCTTCTCCTTTTCACCACAGATAAGCCCCCCCCCTTCCAGTCTCCCTCATTCACCAATTAACTACCTTTCTCTCCCTCTCCCCATCATTGACTTTGTCCTTTGTGTTCCCCACCTCTTGTGGTCAACCATCCCCTTCCCCCAATCCCCCTCCCTTTTGTTACCCTCCTTTCTGTTCAGCCGCCTGCTTTCTCTGTGTATTTTCCTCTGCATCATCTATTTCCACTTGACTGCTTTTGTTACATCAGTAATGTATACATGTACCTGTTTATGTTTATAGTCTTGTCATTTAGCCTTCGAGAAAGACTCTGCTAGGGTCGAAACGTCAGGCCACTAACTATTTTTTTACCTTTTCTTTAAGTGGAATCAGTTCATTTAAATGATTAAGAGTCATTTTGTGTAAATACTTAATATAAGTGTCCATGCTAAAAAAAAAATCAAATTTCTTTATACTTTGTGGGATGAAAGGACTTGGGGAGCAAGTAACCAGAATAGACTTTTTCAACTGATGTTTTGCCATTATGTGTTTTCGCCATTTGGGGGCAATTTTGAGGCTATAAAAATTCATTTTTTGGCGCGTTATTTTCAAAGGTCATCAAGCCAAAATGCGAAGTAATTTCACAAAAGTAACTCACGACAAAGAATCATCCTTACCCTTACAAACAAAAATAGAAACACTTCCGAAAAATCACCTTTATATTATTTTTAGGCCCTACAATACAGCATGTTTTTACAACTGGCAAAATTACATTTTTTACCCCATTTTTAAACCTCCAAAATGGCACTTTCCAGGGCACTCAGAATAATTTCCCTTCGGCTATGGTTAGTTCAGACATTGGTCTTTTCATATCTGGTGAGAAAACCTTGGGTTATTGTATATCCTTGTGCAGTAGCGCTCCAAAAATAGTGAATTTCACAAAAACCTTAAAAAGTGTAATTTTAGGGGGTTTTTTTCTTTGTTTCGAGTAATAACTTGTATAATTATAGATACTGAGGACATTCAACAGCCGTCGGTGTCCTACTCAGCATTTTTTTGATTGGCTGATCGGCATAAGCACACAACAATAACCACAACACAGCCATGACAGTATTGGTCAAACTGCGCCTGCATTAATGCACTTTTGACCAATACTGAATGACAGGCAACAGCCGTACCAATGCACATTATAAACATATGATACATAAGCTGGTGAGGGCGTGATTTGCAGCATGACGCTTTCGTGAACGATGGCAGCCGAGAGTCGTCCCTATTCAACCCGAATTACAAGATAACTATACCTCTGAAGGTAATGAATTTAACGTTTTGTTGCTATGTATTAAGCAGCACTTTGTAGACGGCGTTGTCGATTGTGTGAGTATAAAGTGACAAAATAGTTGCAATTTCAATTGATTTTCGGCTCCCCTAGCATAAGTAGCAATTTGACGCGACATTCCATGCACAGGGCATACAATGTGTGGCTGTCTAACGGAGGTAGTCCAGTATGACAGCCACATTTATTGGGCTGTCACACGCTGGGTGACCGTAAGGTTGTGGCCAAATGCACTTCAACAATCTGTCAGATTTATCAAAATCTTCCAACTCCCAAATAATTACTCGAAATACATAATAAACACTTACAGGAATGCAACTGGGAAGTCACACAAAGAGGAAACTCAAATCTTTACCAGAGTTTGTACAGTGTTTTTCTATTTTTAATTGGGAAGTAAAAAAAGAGGAAATCAGCTGATCAAATACGAGGAAAAGTTGCATTCCTGCACTTAAAATAACATGCAGATGTTGTAGTAGGCCTATTGCCTTTGTAAACAATCTATATACACATGTAGTCGCATAATAAGGATGTTTTGAAACATTTTGCGTAAATTTCTGGTAAAACAACATGTTGCATCATGACGAAGTCTGGTTCCCAGTGAACCTCAGCACCTAGGCCGGAAAGATTTCAATATTATAAGAAATTCACTCAACACCCTGTGTACAAACCCTATGAGAGTGGACTGAAAAATTTTAAGTGTTTTCTAAGAAAATGCTTGTATTTTCTCACTGCTCAAATTGACTTTGATGACATGAAATTGCTATCTGGGGGCTTGTTAGTCAATACAGAGGAAAATTAGTGAACTTCTTACATAGAAATCCTTCCCCTAGGCCAGCCAACCTGTCCCATGATTTAAATGCAAGGATTTGTTTGAAAAGATTGAAGCTTTTGTAACAAATTAGGGGTCCACCATTTTGCAGAATTCTGCCAGAAATCTGCCAAAAAAATCCATTCTGTCAAATTTTCTGTCCAACTCGGTTTTTTTTAACAAAAGAAATCCGTCCAAATTAACCGAAAATCGGCTAAAACGGTCACCCTGGTCACAAGTTGTGTACACATGTTGCATGTGATTTAATTTGTCAAGTCAAAAATTGTCAATTTTTTCGACCTCCAAAGACTCCCATCACGAAATGTTCGGCCCCCGTATTTCACACGTATTATTTTGATATAGTTGGGTACCTAAAGGGTGGGATCAAACCTCTGAAATGTCAAACAAAAATGTGAAATTACCAGAATTTCGCTCACCAAATCTGTACCCGGAAGCGACAGCCGTCTGTTCTTTGCAGCTGTCGATTGAGGGCGCTTGCCACCAAACCCGTACGCGCGCGTCTAGGCGCGGCATTACGGACGGTGTAGCATGAATTGGGTCCTACTAAAGCGCGTCAACAAGCGTCAACAAGCGTCAACAAGCCTCAACGGTTGTCAACGAGCATCAACAAATTTTGTATAGGCTTTTGAATATTAAAAACAGCTTTATATGGTAGAAAAAGCAATAAAGAACATCTTCTGCTTATCAATTAAAGTTAGAATTATTCTATAACTTGTTTTTTTGAACGCGAAATGTACGGCGAATTTGTCTATAAAAGTTGGCCGCCATCTTGTTCATGTGTAGCTAGCTAGCCGTACTACGCATGCGTGAAGTGTACAGAGCCATACTACGCATGCGCGAAGTCTACAGCGCCATCCAAACAAGATGGCGGCCAACTTTTATCGACAAATTCGTCGTACATTTCGCGTTCAAAAAACCAAGTTTTAAAATAATTTTAACTTTAATTGATATGCAGCAGATGTTCTTTATTGCTTTTTCTACCATATAAAGCTGTTTTTAATGTTCAAAAGCTTATACAAAATTTGTTGACGCTCGTTTGACGACCGTTGAGGCTTGTTGACGCTTGTTGACGCGCTTTAGTAGGACCGCATGAATTTAGGTTTTATGAAATGCGGACTCTTTGGTGGTATTGCGCATGCTCATGCATAGATAATTAGGAGAGGGACCGGTCACGTGAGAGGGTTTAACCAATAAAAGGGTAAAAGAGTTCGATTTTCATAGAGTCCGATTTTCATATGACAACGGAATTTGAGGCGCAGCAGACGAATAGACCGCTTGCAGACGCGTTCGATAATTGACGCGCGAAGGTGCGCGACGCCATGTTGTGGGACAAAATGTGCATGGATAGATATGCGCTTGACCCACAACATGGCGTCGCGCGCCTTCGCGCGTCGATTATCGAACGCGTCTGCAAGCGGTCTATTACTAGTTACATCATTACATCAGATCCAACAAGGAGGTTTTACCGGCGTTAGTTTGTTGGTTGGTTGGTTCTACTAAGAATGGCTAAACCACATAAATATCACCAATAATTGAACACAATTCAGCAGACAACGACAATTTGCACATATCGTTGTCAGCTGAATTTTGTTCACGCTATGGTTCAATTGTCATTGCTCTTTGATGCGAACACATGCATGATATACTGCAAAACATCGTGTACGGAATGTTAACATACTCGCATGAATATAATTACATTAGCCATGGAGCTAGAAATAAAATGCATGAATTCTACCTCCATGATTAACCATTCTGCTTTGTCCAACGCCAGCCTGATGACTGCATGATCGAGAGTTCAATTAACAGTCGGTATTTTTTATGTGTCAGACTGGGTCCATGAGATGAGATGAATGTTGCTTAATTAGGACTTAAATGTACGACTATCTGACATCCGGTTAATTTGTTAATTTTGTTAACCGAACTGTCCATGACTTCCGGACAACTGAGGGCGATGTTGCTGTGATTGTTGGGAGATACTTTCAGTTCAGGGGTTTTCTTTTCAAATTGTGAACCTCAATCTTGCTAACTGAAAATATATTGTGCGAAAGGTTTGCTCACAGGATTATACTGTCATGCACTGGCACGCACAATCACCAAAGACAAGATAGAGCATATAAAATAAACGACAGTCAATTATCAAAAATACTGGCATTTTGTTAATGCTGAAATAGCTGAGACATTACTGAGTTTTTGCCTGAAATGACATCACATTATTGTTGCTCATGAATATGGACATTCACATTTGCATGATCAAAACGAAAAGAGCACCTCAACTGCCATTGAACATTACACAAACAGTGATGATTGCAAAAAGGTTAATGAACACAAAGGTACATTTTCAATTACTGTAATTATAAAAAACAACATGCATCCGATACCATATGGGCCCAGGAAAACTTTACAAAATAAAACACAGCAATGCCATCAAATACAGCAATTGGGAAAATAAGATAGCATACGATATGAACAATTAGTGCATTCCAATTCATGGATTGAAAATATAAATGAATGGAGGTATTCCAAATGTGGTTGGTATTTCTCAACCCTCTAACCCTCAACAAGGGGAATTTGGCTAGAAACCCTGCCAAACGCAGCAACATGGCATCGTCTAAGTGACAAGCCTGCCTAGTGCAGAAAGATCCATCAGGCAAGAAGTCTCATGGCGAGATCCCGAACGCAGCAGGGAACTGATGCATGCTGGACTATAGCTCTCATTTTCTTGGAAGTGGCAGTTTATGCACTGGTGTACATACATGTACATGGTTGATACATGCAGATAGATAGATACAATATTCATCCAGTTTCAAGGAAAAGTAGTTCACAAAAATAATTACATTTGGCAAAATCCTTCTCGAACAGGACTTTTTCCATTCAAGGTATACACTCTCAGAGAAAAAGTTACTTCGTTTTAAAGAACGTGCTTGGCAAACAGCCAGCAAAGCTTATATCTGCATGATGCTTTGCATGTTTTTGGAATAGTATTACTTTTTTAGTAAGTCGAAACCTATCTGAGCCTAAATGTATTTTTGAGTCATGCCCACTTCGGTGTAAATTCGCAAACATGACTTCAACCAGTATCGTGTGTGCAATTTCATCAGTACGGAATGTGATCGTGAACAGTTGAGTTAGAAATAAGTCCACGGGTAATAACCTAAAACCCATTTATTATATCCTGCCATAACCAAATTCACACCGAACCTGTTTGATCGGACAATGCAGATTGAACACAAATGTACAACATATGAAACACTACAATACAATTAAGTATAACGCCTTAACAAATAATACATTGTACAGTGAATATATAATACAATATACATGCAATACAATCATAGGTACAAATAGATACAACGTACACGCATATATAAATTATCACCAGTGTCAACCTTTCTGTTTACATTGAGAATTTCGTTTACAAGTACATATCACCACAAAAGCCATACCTATTTCATCTACCTCGGCCAGAAAAGGCTTTGCCATGTGTCTCACAAACAAGACGCATGTACATGTACGTTCAGATACCTGAGCGAGAATTATCTAATTGCAAATAAACATTTAAAGGGAATATACAAAATTACATTGCAAACATAAAAAACTACTTCATTATTATGAAATACCTCACTGCACTTTTAGTGAATAACAGTCTAAAGCATCCTGTAAAATCATGGCACCTAGTGTGCTGTCATTTTCAAGAAAAGTGGTATTTTTGTATCAATTTCCAATGCTGATGGGCTGATCAGCGTTGAAAAAAATCTGGCTTTTTGTTTATAATACTACCCACATTTCATATGGATTTAGTCTGAATTTTGTTTTGAATCGATTACCCATCCATGAACGATAATAAGCCTTCAAGACTGGTTCCCTGACCTTACAATTCCCTGACGTCTATAAATTGCTCCATTTCAAGTTAGGTGAGGTCGGGAACCAGACTGCAATAATATGATTATTTTTTCTTGGTTTCTCCAGCATCTGCCAACACAAAACTTCAAACATGTCAGTGTAACAGGATTTGTTATAAAATATTTCTCCCCCAAGTCCATGCATTTTTGAAAATTACAGCAAAAGCAAATGTATATTCCCTTTGAATACATGGTCTCATTACAGACTGTGCATTCTTTCATGTCTGCTTAGAATAGATGAACTTGGTTAAGAAAAGTATTTGCCACAGTCTCGCAAATAAATGAGTTCTCATCGTGTGAATCCTTTCATTCTTAGATTGCCTCTGCGATAGAAAAGGCTTTGCCCAAAGTCTCACGAACAAATGAAACAATTTGTTTATCAACGGTGTGTAACCTTTCATGTCTATTTGTTGACATTAAGAAAAAGTTTTAGCACAGTACAGGTCTCGCAAACAGATGATTCTTAGAGGGTCAACTTTCATGCCTGATTTGCTTGCCTTTTTACGAAAAGTCTTTACCCCGGGTCTCGCAAACAAATGGGTTCTCATTGGTGTCAATCCTTTCATTCTTTCATGTCTTTTTAGATTGCCTCTGCTAGAAAAAGCTTTACCACAGGTCTCACAAACAAATAGTTTATCACTGGTGTGTATCCGTTCATGTCTGTTTAGCTGACTTTTTTGGGGAAAAGCTTCACCACAGGTCGGACAAACAAATGGTTTGGTGTGTATTCTTTCATGTTTATGTAAACTACCTTGGTAAGAAAAGGCTTTACCACAGGTCTCACAAATATATTTCTCACCGCTGTGCGTCCTTTCGTGTTTGTTTCGGTCGTTTCGATCAGAAAAGGCTTTACCACAGATTTCGCAACCAAATGGTTTTTCCCCGGTATGCACCCGGTCATGTGCCTTTAGTTTACTTTTACAAGACAAGCCTTTACCACAGGTCCCACAAACAAACAGTGTTCTGCCAGTGTGGATCTTCTCGTGCCGACTTAGATTAACCGGGCCAGGAAAGGCTTTACCGCATGTCTTGCAAACAAATGGTTTCTCACCGGTGTGCAACCTTTCATGCATCTTTAGATGATATTTGTCAGAAAAATCTTTACTGCAGAACTGGCAAGCAAAGGGTTTCTCATTGGTGTGAATCCATTCATGTACGGTCAGATGCTCGGCCCGGAAAAAGCCTTTACCACAGGTCTGACAAACAAATGGTTTCTCATCGGTGTGCGTTTTTTCGTGTCTGGTTCGACTACCACGATAAGAAAAGGCTTTACCGCATTTTTCACAAACAAATGGTTTCCCCACAGTGTGCACCTTTTTATGAGTGCGTAAATTACCTTTGCTTGATAAGGCTTTACCACAGGTCTCACAAACAAATGCTTTTTCATCACTAGCATTGACCCTCTTGCGCATCGTTGGACTATGTTGATCAGAGAGGCTATTGCAACAGATATCGCAAAAAAGTTCTCACACTGTAGTCTATGCAGTCTGTTGTGTAAGTGTAGATTTTATCGATCAGAATTAGGTTTACGAGATGTCTCACAAGAACATTTTCTCACTTACAGTGGACCCTCTGTTGACCATTTAGCTTCAAGCTTGATGAGAAGAATTTGTCACAAGAAAAAACAGACATTTGATACTTGTGATTCCACGTTTCTGAAGCTACATGTATTTATCTTGTTGGCCGAACATTCCATCAAGTATTACATTAATCTTTATCTTCTTGCAGTATGCTGAAGATTGTGAAAGCATCATCTCATTGGCTGGATATGTTGATCTTCATCAGGTTTCTCAGTGATTGGCCGATTCACGAGATGCCACAACGGACGTCAATTTGTAGTCGTTGTTGTAAAAAAGCAGATGGACTCTCTAAGTTCAAAAAAGAAAGTTGAAACCGAGATGAGATGACCATCTCCTGAAGACAGTCAGAGCATACTGACCGGAACGTCGAGTTTATACCTCTAGTTCTTTTCAGAACCATTCTCGTTGTTGAGAAATTATTTCCACATGGGTGTTTCCGCAAACTTGATATTCATTAACAACAATATAATTATGTCTTTAATGAGGATTCACCATTAGCATGGATCATGTATTTATGTTACCTTATTTCAGTCAACTTGATCAATTCAGAATCAGCTGATTCCACACAGGATCAGGACAGGACTCCGTTGTCCGCAGTTCACCACCTGGAGAATGCATTGAGAACATTTAAATGAAACTATCTGATTCTATTCACATGCTACAAAATACTTGTATGATTAGTACGAGGCGAATGGAACAATCGTCTGTCACCGAATGAAATTATTCTTTCCATTGCACGGATGTGAAACATTCATTATTTGTTTTATATAGTACCTGAATAAATCCTCGACATCTGATTGGTTGACTTATAAACTGGTACTTACATGAATGTCCTACTTTTTTCAGAACAACTGGTGATCCCTTCCAATATCCGATTTATTCAAAATTGTTCAACAAGTTCAGAACTAGCCAGCATATTCAATTTATCTCGGTCTAAAACTATTCCAAAACTAAGTTCAGAACTTTCGTATCCAATTTATGTATTTTAAAAACTGTTCTCAACAAGTTCAGAACTACCTATATTCAAATTCGTCTCATCGTTTTTCAGGAAATCTTATTTACTTCTTTGTGTTAGCAGCGTCAGCATTTATCAATATTTCTTCGGAGAACAAACGGAGATTCTAGCGAATGGTCCGCCAAATTTGACATTCTGCGAATCAGATTCGTGATACAGCGCCACCACCGGCAGTAATGAAACCGTGCAATAGAAGTTCTATTCGCCGTACAATAGAACTTCTATGTTTATGGTGCTTCCGCGCCGTGCGTTGGGACGAATAATTCAATGACATGATCAACGATCCAGCAATCAGATGACGGGGATTTATTCAGGCGTTGTATACTACATGAGTACATGTAAATCGCTATCTCCCCAGTCTCCCCTTTACATGTCATTGATGGATTGAAAATATCGTTGTAATGACATTACTACAGATTTCATTTCTTTTTCTTTTCTTTTACTACTGCAGGAGACCGCTTACGACAACTTGGACGACGGTCAACCGCATCTCCTCCGCCCGCTGATGATGTTCAACAACCGCCTACTCCTCCTGCCGTTAAAGCTCAACAATTCCCTGCCCCAGCAGCAGTTGACGTTCCTGCTGAACCACTCTGACCCGGGTCTTCTCCCGCCGACCTCGATTTTGGCCGATTCAAAGATCCAGAGGTATGTCCAATTGTCAATGATGTGTTTAACTTTAATTCTGAGTCCCGGCTCATTTGTGAAAACTTGTTTTCAATAAGAACACCCCGACGGCTCGAACCTTCTCCTTTGACATTGTCCGATCTCGTTTAGGAACAAAAAATCCGCCCCCGGGGCGGGGGTGAACATTGATCATTTATTTAGAGTCGTCTACAAACAAATCCGCTATCACGCAACTGTAAACGTTTCCTTAAAAACTTTCCTTTAGGGTTATTTTTAAGGCATGCTATAACGCAAGACCTTGTGTATTTCCCTCAGCCCCAACTCCAGACTTCTCCAACAAAACATCACCACTGACTCCGAGCACGACATGGAGCGTTTGATCGGACATCTCCAAAACCCTGACCTTAATGAGGAAGTGAGGGGACGACTTCCAGGCAACGACTGGACCTTTCACGATCTGACCGATGTGAAAGTCTACGTCACCAATGACCCCCTACACGAAGATCCTCAGCAGTTGCCCTCTGACCCGAATGATACCGATGACAACAACCAGGAACCCAACATCCAAGAGTACCTGAAGTTGCTCTCTGACAACTGACCAGTAGGTTCTACTTTCTGTGGCCGTGCAATGGAGATGACAGACGGTCTGCTCGCCATTTTTCACCGCCTGCAAACTCGGTCAAGGCAAACGCGGTTAAGTATCATCGGTGTCCAACGATTGTATTTCACCAGCGGCTTGAAACTCTCATTTGTGGGGCCGGGGTTGAAAACCTATCAAAAAGTCGTTGGCTTTGATGCCAACGCTCTCTCTACCCGTGGGCACTGATGCAAGATATGCCCACAGGAAATTTCGTGCGACGCAAGGCGAATGAGAATTCCAAGCCGCTACAGAGTCAAAAATATGGGAACATGGCTGATGAATGGGTCGACTGGATAGCGCGGAGCGAAGGTGTTAACATCACTCACAAGTTCGGGGGTGAAATATTGGTAGGGTAGCGGGGCATTCCAGATCCGGTAGACGGTTACTGTGCACCAACAAACACGGTACATGTATACCAACTCCACGGCTGCTTTTGGCATGGCCACTGCTGTCGCATGATTGAATAAAATGCCATGAGACAAGCTACGCGCGCGGAATTGCGACAGGATACAGAGAGGGTGGCATCGTATATCGGCGACCAGGGGCACAACCTCATAGAAATGTGGGAGTGCCAATGGTTCGCAGACCAATCTAGAAATGCGCGCGTCAGAGATTTTCTTAATTCGATTAGACCTCCCCACTTGCAGCATGACATTTTAAACTTCATAAGAGACGGGTCCGTGTTCGGAGTCGTTGAGTGCAACCTGCGCGTCCCATGCCACCGGCGCTGGTGGACACATTCAGTCACACGGTTGCGAAGGGCGATTTCTAAAGGTTACGTAACACTTCATTTTGAATGAAACTACATGGGCACACACATGTTTACGTTGGCGGGCGAAATCTTTGAAACTTAATTTCTCCCGTTTGGAAGACCGTATCTTCATGCAACTTTCAGGGTTTACTTTCCTCATAATGATCCAAGTATGTGCTAAAAATCATTGTGATGTGTTCATTACTTTCGCTGAAATTGGAAAAATAGGCCTGGCTACGTGCATTGAAAATTGTAACACTGACGTTTGCAATAGCTGTCAATCTTTTCAAGCCTCACGAATATTAATAAGGTTCATATCCATTATGGTGTGCAGTAAAAATTTTGAGAAAAGCCTCCACGAGTTATTAATTGATAAATATCAACCTTTTGCCGGCTTCCATTGGTCGATACCGAGACCCACGCCAAAACACGCCGAGTGAGGCTAATGAATATGCTAATCTACAACACGATAACGTATGGCTTAGCCGAAATCGGTCAACCGTAGCGCCTAAGGCACTTTGCTGAACAATGCATGTGAAGAAATTTGGCAGAAATCATCGTCGAAATTTTCCATGGAGATCGTTCAAATTGTAACACTAGCATTTGCAACAACATATCAAGCTGAAATTCGGAATATACTTAGATGATGTAAGTGTTCAACTGCTCGTGAAATGACAAATTTGAGAAACTCCTAGAAATAGATACAAATACAGAGATTTGGGGAAGTTTTCGAACGATTTCTTCCAGACTTGAAGGTCAGCTATACCAGTAACCAGCATTGACGTTTCGGCATCGATGACGGCGATTTTTTTCACTGACATGAAGTTGAGAATTTCTTCTTCCGTTATAATTTAACTTTTCAATCATACAATGCATATTTTCTGAGAAACACAACGTTCAAAAGGCCATGTTTTTTGTGGTGCATGAATTTCACTGCTCTGCTATAGCGTCTAAGTACGTAATCGGATTACGCTGAGCAGGAAGGGATGTTGAAATCTGCCCAGCGAAGTTTATTTGGGTCCCATATTTTGCTTGCAACGCCGTTACTTAGGACATGGAGCTTCATGCTTAGGATTTATCTCTCCCACAGGATTGAATGTATGAAGTTGTGCAACACGGACCCGACAGTTGTTTCAGGGCTTTTGGTGAACTGAGGCCAAAAGAGCTGGGGATAAGGACCCTTCCAATGCCATTTTGGCCGACACGATGAAGTTACTCGTCAATTCCGCGCTTGGGAAAACGGTAACGAATCTATTCAACATAACATGACCGTCAACATATCCGATGACACCAACGCTCCGGGCTATGCCAATGACAAACTCTGTCAAGCCTTTCATCAGATCAGGGACGGTGTTTATGAGATTGACATGACGAAGAAATCAATTTGGTTAAACTTGTACCCATCCAAATCTGTTTCTTCGTCTACCAGTATGCCAAGCTACGGATGCTGGACTTCTGTTTCGATTTTCTTAAGAAGGTCATTCACATCTGACTTTCAGATGGTGAAATGGACACGATTCTGCATATTAAGCCATGTCTGATCTTGAACGGGAGGGTGATGGGATTGTCGCCTTTTGCAGCAAAACTCGTTTCTGTTTCGGTGCATCAAATAAAAGTAGTTGCAATGGGTTGAACAAAAAGATAAACGAAATCACAAAAGAGAAATACATGTACTTTGATGTGCTCAGGACTACAACGGCGGGGTGCCGGGGTTGGGTGTAAACCAGAGGATTCACAGTGAGAAATAACAACATGTACACTTACAGACAGAACAAAACAGCCGTGACTTATCTATACATGTAATCAAACGAATAGTCGCTGAGGACGGGGTTTCAACTACATTTAGTGAGCTGTGAATTATGTAAAGGAAAATAATAATGATTTTATAATGATAATGTATTTAATGAACAATTTTTACTTTAATATTGTGTGTAGACCAACGTACTAACATGCACGTTTCATTTAAAATAGAATTGTGCACTGTGAACGTTGATATTTCATTTGAAATTTAATTTGGTTCTTGATTTCGTTTAATTTGGTTATAACACTTGGGAATAATAATTACACTGTAATAAAATACACTTTAGTTTATTGTGACATACATATACTGCATTATCAAATTATAATAGCTCGGATAAATCTTCTTACTGGGTTACTACTCCGTATTTTTTGATCAGGAAAATTATTGATTTTAAATGTTTATCCCTGTCTTATGTACAACTTACATGTAACATTGTTTCCATTTTTGTCATTAAATATTTATGTATTACTTTTATGTCAAAGGGGATTCCTACTCGACAAGCTCTGCTTTTTGGGGATCCCCTTCCATCACCTCATATACATGTATGTCATAACTGCAAATGTGCTCAAAGTATATAAATATATGTCTTGTAAAATCAGTCCTTAATATCTAAAACTATGTATTTTATGCCTTGTCACGTATGTGTTCAAATAAGAAAGAATGAATGAATGAGTGAAAAGGAATTGAACTGAAACAAGAGTTGAGCAGACATTAAAATGAATGAAAAAGTGACACTTTGTTGGGATTGTCCATTTGTTTGTTTCTCATTCTGGTAGTTTATATTGGTATATCTATTATTTTTTTTTTATATTTTAAAAATAAAAACCAACAATTCAAACTGATAACTTCTCCCGTATTATTTTGATGTACACTCACCTGATTGGCCCAACTTGTTTTGATCTAAACGTCATTCCAGCTTTTCCAATCATTTTCGTTGACCCATTGGTCCATCTTGTTTTGATTTTCAAACTGACAATTCAAACCGATAATGAATCCACCCCCCCCCCCCCCTCACCTCACACAACACTCTCTTCCATGCTCCACAACTCCAACTCACTCTTACTCCTCTCCACACCCTCACCTACTCCACAAATACACCTCATTTGCACCATAACAGGGTGTTAAATGCACCTGCTAAACTAATGACATGGCCGTCCGTTCACAGTGACATCGTTTTTGCCAGGCCCAAAGATCCTACAGTGTGGCGTAAGGCGAAGTAAAAAAAAAACATGTTTAGCGTCCCCGCCCACTTCCTTTTTAGAGGCTGCCTCCTTTTTTTTTTTTTTTTTTTTTTTTTTTTAAAAGACAAAAATTGATAAATTTTAACGATCTCTGACGAAAGAAATCGTATTTTTAGACTTTTATACCGTGTATAAAGCTGTGGAAATAGTCAATGAGTCCAAGTGGCGGCCATTTTGAAAAAAGCTGGTAACCATCTTGAAAAATAGCCCGGCCGCGCTGTCTTGAAAAATGCGTCGGGTGGCCATTTTGAAAAAAAAAAAAAAAAAAAAAGGGCCTCCTCCTTCCTTTTTGTCAAAGAGGCAGGACGCTAAACATGTTTTTTTTTTTATTTTGCCTAAATGCCTACGGCGCTATAAGATCTTTGGGCAACGCAGGTCAGCCGACCAGCGTTGGGGAAAAAAACTGGCTGTATTTCAAATACAGCCCCAAATTTACCATAATTCTAGTTAGTCCGCTTTTTGTTTGCTACATAATTACATAATTACAGAGGTACAAAGCCAGCTAAACTGGTTCCCTAACCTTACTATTCCCTGACGTCTATAAAGTGCTCCATTTCTCCTCAAGTGGGGTCAAGAAACCAGACAACAGGAACATGATTGTTTTTCTTGTTTTTTTTGCAGCAACTATAAAGATCTACGAACACAAAACTTCAAAAAAGTCAGGGTAACAATATTTGCTATAAAATACCAACCCCAAATCCATCAATTTTTTAAAATATTAACAAAAGCAAATGTTGCATAGGGACCTATACCCTTTAACCCATGCGTACAGGAAGCGGTCATGGCCGCGGCCGGCCGCTAATCCTCATTGGAATGCAGTTGCCAGCTGTGGTATGCCGTGACACACAGCTAGTGGGTAGTTCCACAGCTGCTGCTTTTGTGCAGTCCCGCTACCACACAAAGGCTGTGCAGTCATGCGGGCCACTTGCTCTATGTGTGGAGGAATGTCCCCATTACACCCAGTCCTTAAAGGGAAAATACAACATTTGCAAACATCAAAAAATAAAACTACCAAATCATTTTGAAATACCTTGCTGGACTGTTGGTGAATGACAGTGTAAAGCATCCTGTAAAATCATGGCACCTGGTATGCTGTCATTTTCAAGAAAAGTGGTATTTTTGTATCAATTTCCAACGCTGATCGGCCGATCAGCGTTGGAAAAAACTGGCTTTTTTTCAAATACTGGCCCCAATTGACCATCGCACTTGTTTGCAATTGATTACAAACCTATGAACGGGTACGAGCCAGCTAGACTAGTTCCCTGACCTTACAAATCCCCAATGTATGTAAACTGCTCTGTTTCTTCTTATATGGAGTCAGGGAACCAGACTACAGGAAAATGATTGTTTTTCTTGGTTTTTATAGCATTTTCGAACCCAATACCTCAAAAAAGTCAGTGTAACTATATTTGCTATATATTTCCAACCCCCCAATTCCATCCATTTCTGAAAATTACAGCAAAAGCAAATGATGTATATTCCCTTTAAAGGGAAAATACAACATTTGCAAACATCAAAAAATAAAACTACCAAATCATTTTGAAATACCTTGCTGGGCTGTTAGTGAATGACAGTGTAAAGCATCCTGTAAAATCATGGCACCTGGTATACTGTCATTTTCAAGAAAAGTGGTATTTTTTTAACAATTTCCAACGCTGATCGGCCGATCAGCGTTGGAAAAAACTGGCTTTTTCTCAAATACTGGCCCCAATTGACCATCGCACTTGTTTGCAATCGATTTCAAACCTGTGAACGGGTACGAGCCAGCTAGACTGGTTCCCTGACCTTACAAATACAATTCCCCAATGTATGTAAACTGCTCTGTTTCTTCTTATATGGAGTCAGGCTACAGGAAAATGATTGTTTTTCTTGGTTTTTATAGCATTTTCGAACCCAAAACATCAAAAAAGTCAGTGTAACTATATTTGCTATATATTTCCAACCCCCCAATTCCATCCATTTCTGAAAATTACAGCAAAAGCAAATGATGTATATTCCCTTTTAAGGGGTTGGTTTGGGACACATTGTACAGGCACAGTACCGGTATAAAAACGGACAGGCCTAAAGTGCAGTGCATCTGCTCTTTCAGCATGACTGTTGGCGTTGCGGCAGAAAATTGTGAATTGTTTTCGACCTCCAAACTCTCCTGTCACGAATTCCTTGGCCCCAGTATTTCACATGTATTATTTCGACATAGTTAGGTACCTATATGGTGGGATTAAATCTCTGAAATCTCAAACGAAACAGTGAAATTTACCAGAATTTCGCTCACCAAAACCGCAGTCACAGAAATCTCGGCCCTCTGTCAATCTGTCATCGCCTGCTGTCTAGCTGTCGATTGAGGGCGTTTTTAATTAGCTCCGCTAGCTAGCTAGCGCGCGTAGCTCTGCTAGAAACATGCGAACCATCTCCCATGTATTCTTCCTAAAATTGAGTATTGAGCAAATTAAAGATACAGTGCGTACATGAAGGAGATTCCTGTGATCATCTTAAATTTATTTTGTAAGCGAACTTGTTGTCAATTTCACCCTTTCGTTTGACATTTCAGGAGATTTGGGAAAGAATATCAGGATATCCAGACGCGCCCCAGACGCCACTTCAGACAGCGGTTTAGCCCCATTAAATGTGGCCTATTTACTGGACTGCCTCCGTAAACATAGGCCACACATCCACATGTACAAAAACGTGTCGCACTTTGCCAAATTTTGATTTTCACATTTAGGCTTACTTTGTAGGTTTTTTTTGCTTTAGAAGCATTCTCACCCTCTTTATAGGCTAATCAGAAAGTGCTGCCGTTTTCAGATGTCTAATTTTTGTGAAATTTCATGTTGAAATTTTGATACGCAAACGTGTGCAAATGTATCTGGAAATTTCACGAAAAATGGACATCTGAAAAAAGGCAGCACTTTCTGATTAGCCTATATAGAGGGTGAGAATGCTTCTAAAGCAAAAAAAAACCTACAAAAGTAAGTCTAAATGTGAAAATCAAAATTTGGCAAAGTCGACACGTTTTTGTACATGTGGATGTGTGGCCTATGTTTACGGAGGCAGTCCAGTAAATAGGCCACATTTATGGGGCTAACAGCGGTTGTGTACAAAACTGCAAAGTCTGTGTAGTCCCCACTTGTTGTGTGGCCTCTGTATTGCTGCGCTGTACGTTCATGACGTTAGGCCATGAAGGAATAAGAACATTCTTCCATGGTTAGGCAACACGTCTGGTTTCCCAAGTGCTAAGCATCGCCAAGTTACGATTCTTACATCATTTGAAAGCGCTACCTTTCCGAAACATTCAAGTTGCTGTTATTTTTTTGGGGGGGGGGGCGGTTAGGGTTGTGTTTGTGTAGGTGATCAAAATGGCTTGTGTTAAACGTTTGACCTGTTTATTATCTTTTCAAATCATCTTCTTCTTTTTTTTTATTGCCTGTCATACCTGTATGAACTTTTAGCTTTTTTTGTAAATATTGTACATGTCAGCATTTTATGCTGTTTTATGTGCATTATATATTTTGTTTCTAATAAACCAGAAACATTTAACAGTGTCTCCGTTCCATTTTGTAGAAGATGGACAGCCGCCAGATAGGGTTGGCCGACAGCTGCGTTGTCCGTGTGCACTCTCACAAGTCTTTCCGTCCAGGCAACACTACGAGCCAATCGGAGTACAGCTGTAGTGGTGTTGTCATTGACCCTCAGAACGGACTGGTTTTGACTAGCGGTCAAGTGTTTTCAGAGGTTGTGAACCAGGGATCTAGGGGGCCAATTTTGTCTTCAAGACGCAGAGGTAAATATTACTAACATGTATGGAGCGTGCACAAATATGACACGGTTTGAGGGTGGATAGTTGTATGGTTTAAGTGAGTGCAGTGGTAAGAATTATATCATGGAGCATTCCATCTGTCACCTCATGAAATTATTCTTTCCATTGCACGAATGTGAAAACATTGTTTATTGTTTTATACAATGCCTGAATAAATCTTCGTCTTGTGATTGGTCAGAGCAGCCAAAAGTGTGACCGTGTAAGGCCAAAACAAAGTCTCCGGTTTCTGGTATGGAGCTTGCCCCAAAAGTGGTGCGGAGAAGGTTGTTTTTTTTCCCCCTACTTTTTTTATTATAAGATGGAATTTTTGCATCGGGGTGATATAAATCAAATTAGGTTTTGCCCTTCACCGACGTTTAGACACTGCATACTCATCAGATTTGAACCGGCCAATTGATCCTGTTAGCTCGGTGGTCGAGTGGTAAGACATCTGCACTAGAAAGCAGGAGGTCGTGGGTTCGAGTCCCACCCGAGTGATTTTTTCCAACTTTCACTCGGGAGGTAACACACTGAGTGTACAGTGTTTAAACGTCGGTGAAGGGCAAAACCTAATATGATTTATATTACCCCGACGCAAAAATTCCATCTTAAAATAGTTTAAGCGGTACCCGCTGCTATGTACATCAGATTTGAACCGGCGAACTGATCCCGTTAGCTTGGTGGTCGAGTGGTAAGACATCTGCACTAGAAAGCAGGAGGTCGTGGGTTCGAGTCCCACCCGAGTGATTTTTTCCAACTTTCACTCGGGAGGTAACACACTGAGTATACAGTGTTTAAACGTCGGTGAAGGGCAAAACCTAATTTAATCTACTTTTTTTTCTTCAAATATCAGCTGATGTTGCAGATGACGCTTCAATCCCCTTAGAAGTCGTACGAATATCCTTCTGGGTGGAGCTTGAGGTTACCTCATTAAGGCCATAAGTCTTGAGAATTCTGTACCCACTTACAATCTCGACTCACACGAACATTCTTCGGGAAATTTGTATCTAGTCAAGACAAAAATCAGAGAAAACATGAATTGTTTTTGTTTTGCTTAAAGAAACGTGTACCTTTTTTTGGTTCCATGAAATGAACTTGAAAACGATGTTTGTGTTCAGAATGCCGCAACTTGAAAGGTACATCCATGAGTGATTTGAATGATTCTTGTAAAAAAAATTCACATGCATCCCTATGCGACTGATTTTCCGTTTAGTTGAAAGAACACTTACTTTTTTGTGATCCATGGACTTTGTGTTCAAAATGCCGTAACTTGAAAAGTACATGAGTGATCTGATTGACTCTTGTACTAAAACAAAGCCCATTGATTGGGCTTTCATATCCTAGATTTTGAAAGTGCTACAGGCAAAACTTCATTCAAAAATTGGTCTTGCCATTCGGGATGCTGTTGGTTTTTTTTCTCTGCCTGTTGATCATTTTGCTTGATGTTACCATAAACACTCTGTTATGTTGTCAGCCAAAACCAGCCAGTCTTTGCTTCCTCTGTTACCTTCAGGAAGTTATGTATACTTCACAGCGAAAGAATTGAAGAAGAATGTCTGCATTGATGTCATCCTATCTCAACCAGTCCAACCTCATCTTGCGCTTTTGCCTGCTTCCTCGTCGACTAAACGCATCCCTTCATCTAGTCACAATCATTCCAACTTGGGCACAAGAACCAAACGGGCCGAGCTGGTCTTAATGTGGAAGTGCCAGGAGTTTGACAACGTCCTTCAAACCATCGTTCCGGAGAAAGACGGCTGGAAGTTTACGGACAGCGGAGAAAGCGACGGCGCGAGAACCAACCAATCGGGTGACTCGAATTTGCGGTCGGATCCGGAGACGGATTCGGCAGTTGGTCAGTGCGTGGAGCCCTGTGGGTTGAGCTCGGTCTCCAAGAATTTGCCCGGGGAGAATTTCATCAGTTGGTTTGCTCTGCTGAAGGTGGGCAACGACTGTAATGATTCCGGTCGGCTTGGTCACGCTTTGAATGCCATCAGGTAAACTGGACAGATGAACTTTCACTGTTATTTGGGTTGGGGGGGGGGGTTTCAGAAGACAATACATGTATGTGGTATACATTAATACCAGGTGTATTCATGTGCAGGGTTTCTTCAGTCATGGAAAATCCCGGAAAAGGACTGGAATTCAAAGCTGTTGTGGAAATGTCAGGGAATTTTCAGTGTTACTGTTGCAGTAGCAGTACTCTGTACTCGTTACTCGTACTCGAGTATTACTCGAGTACTTTTTTCAAGTACTCGTACTCGAATGTCAATGTACTCCTACTCGAAATGACGGTACTCGTACCTGAGGAGCAAAGTACTCGTACTCACACTTGTTGAAATTGTACTCGACCATCAAAATACTTGTACTTGAATAGCAGTACTCCAAAAACAATAGTATTGCTTGACTTACCACTGCCTTATTTTATCGATACTTGCCCTTTGAAATGGTTGATTGGCTATTCTTGCGGGGAAATCGAAGTTTCCTGGTTTTCCTCTGTGCACGTCCGGACACCCACATTTAACAGCTAGCGGTGAGTGGGTCTGTATATTGGTCTGATTGGGCCTGGGCCAATTACGCATAATGAACCATTTGCGGTATGGCCGTATTCGGAAATGGGTACTCGTACTTGTAGTCGGAATACAAGCATGGAGGCCCTTCCTTTGATAACGCACCAGAATAGAAATACAAAAGCCGTACAAAAGCCGTATAAAATTTTAAATATCCTACAGGTTTGTGCACAAAAATGGATGCGCCCAGCAGGCATCACTTGTTCGAGTCAACGCTCTAGTTATTATATGTTGGAACCTGATTATTTGACTACATTTGGAAACATCAATATCACTCGCTTTGCAGGCCCTCCACACTTCAAGATAGTTTTCTTCAGCAAGGAGACCCCATCTGTCTGCAGACGACCCCATTTGGTGCCACGTGTCCCGCCGTGTTTCTCAACAGTATCAGTAAGGGGATTGTCAGTAATCTGGCAGGCCCGCGGCACCAGCTCGTCATGACAGATGCACGGTGCATCCCGGGCTCTGAGGGAGGAGGCATGTATGCGACAAGACGCGGAAAAAACAATCGCCAAGAAAGGTGAACCCCCACAAAACTCTGAAATTAAATTTCTCCAAACTCTGCCATAAATTGGTGAATAGTGTGGATTGATCAGAATCAGGATTTAAAGTGCATGCTTTCAACAAGTGAATAGAACTGACCCCAGTGTGCTTATTGATGGGCACCTGAAAAGACGTTTCAATTTCAAGATAATTTCTTTTGATTTTCTAAAGCTTAAAACCTATTTTTAATCTTAAAATAATAGTTCTTCAACCCTAACCCTCCCAAATCCTCCCAAATCCTCTTTGCAAAGTGGAGGATTTTGCAGGATTGAGACTATATAGCAAAAGCGTGTGGCTGATTTTGGAGGATGCACTGTGTGAAGGTCTTAGGGCGGACCTTGTGTTGTTTATGCTCAGCCGTGCATAAATTTTGGCCTAGGTTTTACTTGAAATCCTCCGCACTGCTCCAGGATGTCACTGGCTCTGCCTCAACATATTGACAGTGATTGCTGGAGGATTTTGCAGGATTGAGGCAGTGGTCACCCCTCCACGGACCATTTTCAAGAAATAACAGAGGATTTTGCAGGATTGAGGCTGTATGCTATTTTTACATGGAGGCAGTTGGAGGATTTTGCAGGATTAAGGTTATATACATCCCAGCAAAAATGCCTAGGGAGTTAGGGTTAATTCTGTGGGTTAATTTGTGAATTTAGAATTTAGAATTTAGAAATCGCCCAATAAAACAATTCCAAATTTGACTGGTTCGTGGCTCCTATATAGGTTAATTTGGGAATAAACTGCATTGCTTCCATTTGCTTGTTTGTCATCCATATTCAGAATGCAATGCGAACAGGTATGTAAAGTATATTTCGGGTGAGATCTGTGGATCTGCGTTTTCGCCCGATTTCCTACAGGATCTACTGATCACGCAAACGCAAATTTCTGCGCGATCAAGTGATAGCACAAATCCGGTTAAACCATGCCCGGCAAATGTACATGTTCTGAAAAGGAGAATTTACCTCATAAGGGTATCATTACTATTTTTCAGTGTGCTTGCTGGTGTCATAGTTGCCCCACTGTGCTGGAAGAACAACGAGTGGATTGGACTGACTCTAGTGTGCTCCATTCAAGCAATCCTAGAATCCCTCAGAAGCATCACTGATTCCCCGCCGACCAAGAAAATCTCTCCAGCTCCTGCCCTGCCAGAGGGCAGCAAATCAAGCCGAGGTATGCAAGATAATATCCGACCTGCTATAGCACAATGGTTGATAACCCCAACCTTTGACTCTTTGAGTGATGTCCTCTAACGTGGCACGGCCCCGAACGTGGCACAGTATGATTTTTCGCCTCTAGCGCCTTGCTAGAGCAAAAGTTTTGCCTGTAAGTAATATTTCAACAGGCCCTTAACATTCCTGTCCATACATGTAAATCATGAGTTTATCTGTCCGTTACACATTTATTTTGGCATGAGTTTCCAATTTATTTCTAAATGCACAGTGATGAACCCGTCAAAAAAGCGCCCAAGAAAACAAAAACAATTCACATGCATCCCTTTGTGAATTGTTTTTGTTTTGCTGAAAGAACACTTACTTTTTTTGTGATCCGTGGACAGAACTTTAAAACAATGTTTGTGTTCAAAATCCCATAACTTGAAAAGTACGAGTGAGTTGAATGATTCTTGTACTAAAAGAAAGCTCATTGATTGGGCTTTCTCATCCTAGATTCTGAAAGTGCTACAGGCAAAACTTCATTCATAAATTGGTCCTGCCATTTGGCATGCGTTTTTTTTACTCACCCTGTAGTGGCTCAAGAGGTATTGATTGCATAGCCTGTCATTTGTGTCTTTCGCAGCAAGCCCGCCCTCTACTGTCCAGCAGTGCATGAGGTCGGTGGTCCTGATCAAGGTCGCCGGGGTGTGGGGATCGGGCGTGGTGATCGACGCAGAAAGGGGCATCATTCTCACCTGCCGTCATGTGGTACAGAAAGCAACTAATCACCATGGTAATCACTGCTTCATTTCCGACAAATGTACTTTTGGAAACTTCGGATCAGGGGGCAAACTTTTCCATAGAAATTAGAAATAAGTTTTAATATCAGGGTTTGCCCTTTTAAACCTTTTCGATATACTCAAAGCATCTTGGGATTGGATGACAAACCAACCAGGCAATTTGTGCACAAACATATGGGACCGAGTACCAATTACAATTTTCAGTTGACTCCTCCTCATTTAACATCAAGAAGTTAGTGATCATTTGTTCTCACATTGTTGCGCTAGGAATTTGACATAATCGTTTTAATAATCTTCTTTTTTTAAAGCCTATTAGAATAAAGATGATTATGCGGAATTCCCATTTAGAGACCAGTTTTGTTAATCATGAATATCAATATCATATGATTGACCAATCAGAATCTAGATGTCAAGCTCATATCTCCAACACTGACCAATCACAACTGTTCCGCTGGGCCTGATATGACAAGTATCCTGAAATAAATTTAAATATTATTTCTTATTTGTACCATTATTTCTACCCATACATGTGTTATTGTTCTACATAACCCCCAAGGACAGACACGCAAAGAGAGAACAACAGATCCTTTTAGTCCTCGGGAGTTGGATCTTTTGTTCAAAATGGTCCTCTGTAGTAGGTTTGTGTGCTTAGTCCATGGGAGAGTGTTATATTACAGAGACAAAGGAAATCACAAAGCATTGTCCTCGGGAGTATAGTAAAACAAGAGTGGTGTGTTGTCAGGGTTTGACCTTAGCGGTAGTCCGCTCGCCAAATGCGAGGAAAAACAGCGGCAGACTAGTCAAAACCATTCCCTAAGTAGTCCACCTGGCGAGTCAAAATTATTGCAATGCTGCTGTTGTTTATGACTTTCTGGTGCACAAAAATAAAAATTTGATTGCGGACTAGTGAAAAGGCCCATGGACTAGATAAGAGTCTGTTTCACTTGTCTGCTGCCTAGTGAAAATAAAAGTTCACGTATGTTTGTGCCTTCCACTTAGTTTGTCTATTGTGCCCAGGTATTCCACTCGACGCCATCAGCCTTTGTCCCTTTATAAGGCTTCAATGCGGCACGACATAATCAGTCTTTTCTTACTTTAATTTTTGTTTCAATATGTCTATTGATGCTCCATATTCAAATGATGTAGTAGTCTTTTCGCATTGATTTTCGTTGATTAAGATGTTTATTTTGTTTTTCTTAAAAATCTGAGTTTTTAGGAATAAGGGAGACCTATGGCAGTGAAGCCAGCAATGTTAGTGTTCCCTTCCAGGTGATAAAATAGGGAGCTACATTGTTTGTTTATTCACAATTATTGATTTGTTCTTGATCAGTAGGATTCACGGTCAATTTGAATGGCAAAAAGAAAGCAACGAAAAATCCTTATAGAGAAATGTAGCCTAGTGGATTATATGAAGAGTTTTATTGGAAACTTATTTTGAGTATATCTTTTTGGGGTATACCTTTGGGAAAACTCACATAATGGAAATTTTGGACATTTTATGCCACCATAGCACCAGAATATATTGGTAAAATGTCGCCAACATGCGAAGACTAGTGGATGTCTCACACTGCGCATGTGCAGCAAGTAACCCCCAAGTGACTACACCGGCAATGGGCTATGAACATACGTGAGTTTAGGGCAAACCCTGGTATACCCCTAGCCTGCACACTTATCATGGTCGGCCGTACTGTAATGTAAACTAACTTACATCTTATTTCACAAACTTTCATCAATTGCAGTGCGTGTACGGATAGATTGGCCCTATATATGCTGGGAAGATGCCACTGTCGTGCATACTACCAGTCCCACCTCACCCTTTGACCTTGCTGTTCTCAAACTGGAGGGGGATTTGGGAGCATTGAAAGAGGCCCATGGAAGAGCTGGAATCGGAACAGCCAGATCATACTCTCCAGGTATTGTAAACAAACAGCTGTCTTATATTTACACTTGCCCCCCCCCCCCCCATTTTCCCAGGCCAACAAAACTGCCCCTCAAACGCACACGTATAAAAGCATAAAATGATCGCGCTACCAATAAAATTGCCTCCTCTCTAGTAATGCAAAACTGCCTCTCGAAAAAAAAACAAGTACCCCTCTCGCATTTAGATTGTGCACCTTCTTGAGATGGAAAACTACCCCTCGAAAGCACAAATACCCTTCTTTCAATAATACAATTGTGCCCCTCTCGAGATGGGAAATTGGCCATCAAAAACAACAATGCTCTTCTCGTGATAACTTCTCGAGATGGAAAACTGCCCCTCGAAAGCACAGTTAGTCCCCGCTCGCAACACTATCATTGTGCCCCCTCTCAAGATGAAAAAGTGGCCCCTAAAAATAATAGCGCTCTCCACGTGAATAAAATGGTCACTGAACTGGCCATCAAAAGCAACAGTGCCCCTATCGTGATAAAAAAGGTGTCTCTACATAACTAGGGAAAGAAACACAAAGAGCAAGATGGACAATGTAAATTATGTTCCTCGTCATATAGGTTTATAGCGAAACGAACAGGACCATATTCTTTTCCTCAACTTTCACACCGACAGAAGGTGCCCCTTTTTGGTGAATCCCCCCCCCCCCCCCAGCTTGAAAAGTGTTCCGACACCCCTGGGTAAATTAAACCTATTAAAGTAATGATTTGAGGGAACTCTTTCAAGCTTGTACTTTATAATATTTCATTTAAATTTACCTCCAGGTCAGTCGGTCATTATCGTAGGCCATGCCCTACTGTCACCAGAGCTTGACCTCCTTCCCTCTGTGAGTTCAGGGGTCATGTCAAAGGTCATCACTGCCAACGGTGCCCCAGTAATGCTCCAAGTAAGTAGTTTTCAGACGGTAAAATTATGAGTTTTGGCTCTGCATCATTACATAACAGAAAATTTAGAGAGATGCTTAATCTTTTAGAGCAACATACAGTGGAACGCCGCTATACCGAACACCACTATACCGAACATTCGGCTATACCGAACATCATCCTTGGCTCCCGGGTTTAATGTACAAAACGTACCGAACATCGTTGTGAAAAAAAGTCAACAGATTAGCAAAAAACCTACCGGTTGTACACGTATTAAACACTAGCTGTTGGGCCACTTTTATTTCCCGAACATCAAACCTCCCATGGTTACATCGTGTTTGAATGTTGAAGAACGATAGATGGCTATTATTTCCCCAAGGAATAAAAGGGAAAACCACCAGTTGCTTAACGTTTGTGACAACTCCTCGTGCAACTGCGGGATGTGAGAAATGTCAGTTCAGTGACTTCAATATTGGTCAAAAGAGGGTACCGGCGGTTCAAAATCACTATACCGAACGATTGTTATTACGAACACTTTCTTTGGATCCCACGATGTTCGTTAGAGGGGCATTCCACTGTGCTGTATACAGGAGGACGTATTGACCTATGTACTGTTTGCACAAGTACCCCCTCAATAACTAAAATTTCATAGCAGTTATATTGAAGGAACTGGAATTGAAATTAATTCCTAAATGCGTATTTTACAGAAGAGAAACAACCTAACAAATATGCTCTAGGCATTTCAATTACGTACCTACACTGGCATCCCTACCAGTGAAGTCTTAAATCAACAGATTATCCTCTATGCATGCTGGTTGCAAGACAAATTAGAAATGTAAACAAGGCAAGTACTGGTATAACAGACCATACAACAACAAAAGGTACAAAATGAAATTATAACCTACCTACTTTAATTATTCATAAGATGGAATTTTGCGTCGGGGTAATGTAAATCAAATTAGGTTTTGTGCCCTTCACCGACGTATAAACACTGTATACTCGGTGTGTTACCTCCCGAGCGAAAGTTGGAAAAAATCACTCGATTGGGACTCGAACCCACGACCTCCTGCTTTCTAGTGCAGATGTCTTACCACTCGACCACCGAGCTAACGGGATCTGTTGGCTGGTTCGAATCAGATGTACATAGCAGCGGGTACCTCATTAACTATTCATAAGATGGAATTTTGTGTCGGGGTGATGTAAATCAAATTAGATTTTTTGCCCTTCACCGACGTATACACACTGTATACTCAGTGTGTTACCTCCCGAGCAAAAGTTGAAAAAAAATCACTCGGGTGGGACTCGAACCCACGACCTCCTGCTTTCTAGTGCAGATGTACCTACTTTAAAAAATATTAGGGTGTTACTGTATAAACGCCATTTTAGTCACCATAAGGATGTTCATTACCATTATAATTGTCCGTGTAAATTGTGTTGCAGTCGACTTGTGCAGTGCATGCTGGGGCAAGCGGGGGCGCCATTTTTTGTAATGGGACTGGACAACTTCTGGGTATTGTGACCAGTAATGCCAGGTGAGTTTTAGCCTTTGAATATGTCATGATTGGGTCACAGACTGGGCCAGAAATAATGAGTGAAACATCTCTGCTGAGGGGGGGGGGAGGTCTAGTCACCTGCCCCTAACTCAAATTTTATATTGTTTTGTTGTTATTAATACTGAAGTAATTATATCATTACAGTAAACAAAAGGTTCTGGTTAAGTTATTTTGAGTAATTTTGCTATCTTCCTAGTAAGAATTTGCCTGACAGAAAAACACTACAGACCAACTTTTTTGCATTTTTCTGATTGTTGGTTTCCGCTTAAATGCAGAACAGCTTTTATTTTAGTTTGGATTTTTTTTTTTTTTTTTGGCTTCAGCTTTGGCTTTTCCGCGTATTGTTGGAAAGCCTTTCTTTTTGTTTGGATTTTTTTCCCAGTTTCTTTTTCTGTCATGAGCAATAGCAAGTTAGAATGCATGACTGCTCTTGCAATGCACATAAAAATGTCACTCTTTGAAAATGCCGAAAAGCCTTTTGCCCTGTTCTAAAACAGGCATACACCTCTAGTTTTTTTTCTTTCTTTGTGCTTCATTCAGTGGGATGTAGCAAACTAGTACAAAACTCTTCATTCTTTGTCATGCAGAGATATGGACACGGGGGCCTCCTTCCCGCATATAAACTTCAGTGTTCCGTGGACTTTCATCGGTCCTATCCTGAATGAGTATCAACAAACTGAAGGTATGACAAAGGAAAAATCTTACATTTTGTAGACTGTAAACTTGAAAAATGGACTCTCCGCGGCAAACTCTTGGTGGCGCACTGCATTGTGAATAGCCCGAATTCATTCCCGTTAGATTTCTAGGTACCCTCGTGTGTTGCTGACCTGTTGATAGAATTGGCTAGGCTTTTAATTTCATAACTTTCATTTATCAAACAAATAAAGGCTTACAGGATCATTTGCTTTTCATGCTTTTTGTTTGTTGCCAATAGTATCACCAATCAAAATCCAAAGAAGAATGTTCAAAACCTCACCCGTTGAAGTTTCAGCTCAGTGAATATTACACCATTTGAGAAAGCAGTGAATAACAATGCACAATCTCTTGATCAGGAAACACAATTTCTTCATTGGCACTCTTTATTCAAAATATCAATCAATTGAGTGATCGTTTTTGGAAGTTGCCTTCATGTCGTGATTACTTCTAAATGACAGCAAGCCAGACGGAATATTTTCTCAGGGTGTTTAGTACCAGTATGATCTTTAAAGGGAATGTACATCATTGGCTTTCGCTGTAATTTTCAGAAATGAACTAGTTGAGGGGTTAGTATAATAGAACAAAATATTGTTACACTGACATGTTTGAAGTTTTGTGTCCGAAAATGCTGGAAAAACCAAGAAAAACAAAAATGTTCAAGTAGTCTGATTCCCTAACTCCACTAAAAATGAAATGGATCAATTTATAGATGCCGGAAAATTGTAAGGTAAGGGAACCAGTCTAGCTGACCTGCACCCGTTCATGAACATGTAACCAATAGCAAACACAATTTGGACTGAAACTAATGGTAAAAATGGAGTAGTTGTTGAAAAATAGTTAGGTTTTTCCAACGGTGGTCGGCCGACCACCGTTGGAAATGTATACAAAAATACCATTTTCTTGAAAATGACTTCACACCAGGTGCCATAATTTTACAGAATGCTTTAGACTGTCATTTACCAACATCCTAGTAAGGTATTTCGTAAAAACTTGGTAGTTTTATTTTTCGATGTTTGCAAATGTTGTATTTTCCCTTTAACCCAAGTAAACATTTTGATAATTCGGTAGGTTATTTAGGGGACATTGCAAGTGATCCTATATGCCTTTAAGTGATTTTTTCTTATGTTTTCTTGACGTCTTAAATGTAAAGGTACATGTGTATCATACCTTAATCTTGAGCCAAATTATTACTAATTCAGTATTTTGTAGTTCTAACCGCATTCAAATTTTTGTCCAGAATATTATGTCACATTCTTTATGTGTTTTTAGTTTTTTGTTTTTATTTTATTTTATTTTTTTTGCTAGTAATGCAGGAGAAATTCTGTGAATGTTTGAATTTTGTTTGCACTGTTTTTTTTCTGACTGCATGTTGCAGGTCTGAGACAATTTTCACATCTGCCGTTGTACATATCCGCCATTTTGAACTGAGAGAAAGATTTCAATTCAATTCAAGAAACATTTATTTCATACTCCTTTAGGCCAAAAAAAAAAAGTCTCCGGTTTCTGGTATGCGCGCACGTCACCGTAGCCATGCGCGTCGGCAAAATGAAAAAGGTTTTTTTTCAATGAAAGATGATGTCTCCAAACCGCCAAACTCACTGGTTTGACTGGAATCCTGCTGCTGCACAATTTTAACGTGTTTTTAGATTGGGTTATGGTCGAGAATAAGCTTTATGTGGCCTCTCTGGACTCCCATATATTTGCACTAAGTTTAGTCGGGCACCATTTGCAGTCATCAGCACACATTTGAAGCAAAAAAATCAGGTAAAAAAAAAAAAAGCTGCGTCGCCGCACCACTTTTTGGGCAAGCTCCATACCAGAAACCGGAGACTTTTTTTGGGGGGCCTTAGAGAAATGCATCAATAAACAAAAGGTATCTGGTACATAGCAAAATAACGAATTCGATAAATGTGTCACACACAAAAAATGTAATAAAAGTAAACTGCGCTATTAACAAGTGTAAAATTAAGTTTGGTTTATGATATTAAGATATTATTAGTATAGAAAGAAATGCATCTTTCAATCCTTTCATCCAATTTTCAGACCTTTTTTTTAAATGGCAATATATCTCACTACAGGAAGTGAGGCCCCTTAGTGCCCCACCCCCTCTTGCAAATTAAACCCAAATTACGCCACTAATTTGCTTAGAGAATGGCTGATTCACACAGTTTTGTGTCTGCATTTATATGTAGATGTGAGTGGGCTATACAGGCTGGATGCTGACGATGACCAACTTACGGCGTTATGGAACCTGGACAGCCAAGGGATTGCTCAGGGAAAAACAGCGCCTCAGACATTAAGCAAGCTATGACGAAGGCCACAGAGAAATTGGTGCAACCAAATTTATTATCAAATTGCATGTGACCCAACACAAATGAATCACATGTTGCTATACAGGGTGAGTAAAAAAAAACGAAACCCAAATGTCGGGACTATTGTTTTAGTGAAGTTCTTCATGTAGCACTTTGAAAATGTGGGACATGAAAGCCCAATCCATATTAAAGCTTTCTTTTAGTACAAGAATCATGCAGATCACTCATGTACTTTTCAAGTTAGGCAGTTTTAAACACATCCACCGTTTTAAAGTTCTGTCCACGGATCACGAAAAAGGTACGCGTTCTTTCAGCAAAATGAAAACAATTCACACACATCCCTATGTGATTCGTTTTCGTTTTGCTGTAAGAACACGGAACATTTTTGTGATCTGTGGACAGAACCTTAAAACGATGGTTGTGTTTAAAATTCCGTAACTTAAAAAGTACATAAGTGATTTGAATGATTCTTGTACTGCAACAGAGTTTATGAATTGGGCTTTCATATCCTAGATTTTGAAAGTGCTACATGAAGAACTTCACTAAAACAATAGTCCTGACATATGGGTTGCGGGGTGTTTTTTTACTCACCCTGTAGAGTCACCTAAAGTGAACTTTTTACAAAATCCCGCAATGAAAATTGGCCTAAAGTGTGCTCTTTCCACTGCACATGGAAAAACCTATAATATATAAAGTATTCTTATCACATGGTCCAACGTTAAATGACAATCCTAACAAAACACATCACTTGTTTGTTTTTTTAAATTCTGAAGCATTTTATGAAAAGTTGAAAGGTTATGTAAAAATACTATACATATTTGGTAAGTGGAGCTCTAGGCAAAAAGGGATATAATAATATAAAATGGTTGAACTGTTGATTTTATTGAGCATTCCTAAGACAAGCTATATGCTTGCCTTGTTACTGTCATTTTAGCACAAGTTTACCCTAACCATTCCAATACCAGTTGTAGCTATGATCACCCCAGGATTTGGAGAAACAGTGATCGATAAAGTGTCTTTCCGAGCGACACATGCACCCCAAACCTGCCAGTTGATTGGCTGGAGCCATAAATTGTATAACTGACATACAGATCCTTGTCATTTGATTGGTGGAACTCGCATCATGTGACATTCGTTATTGCTCCCATTCACGCCGGGGCACACAAAAAGTCCCATTCGCCCATGGGGAATGGGAAATACTATTGAACAGTTAGGATCGATGCTTGTTCCATGACGCAGTATTTGTGCAAATGCATGCTGGTGTACGCGTTCAGCGTTGCGCGTAGCGCGTATTGTTCCAGAGGGCCAGTTCTTCAGAGTTGGGTTCAAACGTTTTCGTGAAGGGGTGGTTTGGAAGAGAGAAATACATTTTCCACCAATTTTGTAGTGAAATATAAGTTCAAATATATCAAATGGCAAGGATCTATATATGTCAGTTATATAAAACAAATATTGAGTGGCTTTAAGTTGTGAATTGGGAGGAATATTAAAATCTGGTAAAATCTGGACTTTTCCAGTTCACTCGGCGAAGTCCAGATTTTACCTTGCGATAACATTCCTCCCAATTCACTCTGAGCCACTCAATATTTGTGTACCATTATGAACATGATCTGGATCTGATCAAGGACAGTTTTGTAGCTGAACTGTACTTATGTATAATAGACTTGTTCATCATAGCAGTGAGGTCGAGGAACTGTGGTCGAAGCTTGTGATTTTGGTTATAAGAACTGAGAACTTGAGCAGGGATGTAGTCAAGTCCATCCCAAGTTCCCTGCAAGTCCATCACAAGTCCGTCACAAGTCTTCCAGTCCCAATTCAACTCACAAGCTATTCAAATAAGTTTTGACAAAGGCTTTCCTTTGTTTATTGTCCATCCACTGTTACTTTTGATTGGACTTGTGATGGACGTGGCTTATGGCTACACCCCTGCAGGGTTTGTCGAACTGTCTTGGCAAAAGTCATCGCTCATTATTTTGCAACCGAGTCAATTCCGATGGGCATAGTGAAATATGATTTTTTTTTTCTATTTTCTTCAAAGATTCAATCAACAAATAAATAACAAAATTATGTACAGTTAATCATCTGCTCTACACGCACTACTAATTTTACACAACAATAAATATAAATCTGTTTAATTCATATGACGAAGCTTGGAGTTAAAAAAAAATGATAAGGTTAGAGTACTGACCATATTTAAAACGGCTCACTGTCTGTTTACCTATATTGATTGGAGTATTTAAGAACCGGCAGCTACTATGTGTTGTTATATGAAATATGAAATTGGCAGAAATCAAATCTAAGAAAAAAGCTGAAGGTTATGTTGTGAGAACTGAATGAGTAATAAAATGATTGAGAGTAATGTTCAAATATTTGCAATCATTTGATAAACTCATTTAACACAGCAACAGTCCTTCAGCTTGTTTCTAAAGATTTTATCTATTTCAACACAGTTGTGCTCTTGGAAAATAACAAAACCCCGTGATGAGCGTTAATAATGATGAGTTACTATTTTCCCTCATATTTGTATTTTTGTAAATGTCAAAAATAATTCATAAATGAATGTGCCAAATATAGAATAATGGAGATATGTTTTATTTATTTTAATACAACAAATTTAATTGAAGATGTTTTTATTCACTTTCTAATGAAGTCAGTCGTTGTATACAAAATAAAATGTTACGAAAGCCTCTAATTAGCCCTCGTGTATTCTGCAACTTCCTTCTTCAGTCACATTTATCAAGCATTTACTCTCTTCATTGATCTAAATGTCACACTCAAAAACATACAAATCGACAAGCAGGGGACAAAGAAAATTATAATCACGTTGTTTTGTTGGTTTGTACATGAAAGTGATTTACCATTAGTAAAACAAAAAGTACCATCAATTTTGCATTCGAACGCCCTTCTTAAAAAAAGAAAAAGAAAACGGATATCATTTCAATGTTTTTTTTTGTCTTCTTTCAATCTCGTATCAGTGCCAATTAATTAGCAAGCTGATATAGCGTGAGCACATTCTCGGTTCAAATTACATGCGACATACATGTGGTAGTATTGAAATATGGACACAATTACCCTAAGTGCCTTTGTTCGCATTCGCATTGGAATAGGGGACATTAATATGGGCGGGCACAGTGACGCGTTCTCTGTAACAATACATGTAACGCCCCATGTAACTGTGGCGATCGTGTGGTGTAGGGCCCCTGTTTTGTTTTGAACAAATTAGAGTCAAAAATGCTTTTTATTGCTCAAAAATCACCTTAACAATCAAAAGCAGACTTTTTTTAATTCCAATGACACCCGTCTTGCAATTTTGAACAGTTTCTTGGGGTAGAAATCACGAATTTCCTGCGCGGTTTGTGCCTTGCGATTCAGCGCGCCGTGCGTGCTCATGGTACATCGCGCGCTGATTGCCATCTTTATTTTCGGGTTGCGTGTTGTCGCCGCGCTGTCATCGTCATTTTACCCCAAAATTTCCCTCAAAAAATCAAAGCCCTGCCCTCTATCTATGACATACCTGTTTATTGAGAATGTCCCCAACTAGTTTGGTCGGTCTAATAATTGTAAAGTGGATTTTGTTCCCTTATAGGAACCGGGCCCTACACTACACGATCGCCGTAACAGTTTCACAACCGACCGCTTCTTATCAGAACCACACACCTTCCACAAACCCTCACTAGTTTACGCTATACCGCGGCTCGAAAAAAAAAGGTAGCTGATTTATTAATGCACAATTTTTGTGTGTTATTTCATCTTACACACATATAAACATCTTAACGTTTTGATGTGAAATGTATATATTGTCCATGGTGAGCCAGATGAAAAAGCCAGGCAAATTGGGGATTTTGCGTTGTTATTTAATCAGGTACACAATCAGCGATGTACATCTCACACCAAACTATCGAAATAAGTGTGATGATTATCACCCAAAATTGTGATTTTAATTATCGTGAGTGATTGTTAACGCTGCATCGTGGTTAATTCTACATTCTGCCGTGCGTCCCGCACCCAATATGTCCGGCCCACGGAAACTCCGAGTCATTCGTTGCGTAACATTTACCGTGCCTTTCTCTCTCATAATATTATTCATCGCCATACGTTATCAACAAAATGTGAATTTAGAAAACAAGAGAACTTTAAAGGGAGCATTTCTAAAACCTTTATTAAAATTTAGATCTCCGACGCAAAGGTTTTGTCAAATTGTAATGAATATTTACACTACTAGTACTACATGTAATTGTATGCACAGTGTCGTGTCTCATTGATTCCATGCATGATGATGATGATACATGGATGATAATGAAATTGCTGCTCATGTCCGAACAAAGGTAATATGAGAATACGTAATGCCTCTTAATGATGAAACACATTATGCCTCTTACTGATTTTTTTACAGATGATGACATGAGTTTTGATGGCTATATCACGGATGAGTGCAACCGCATTCAAATGCCCTCATGATAAACTCTACAATGTTTTAATCAAAAATTGGTGTTTATAAATTAATTATAAATTTACATGCAGCTATACCTAAATTGAACATGCTCTAGCCAGGGTAGTCTCGCGTACGATCGTGAGACAGTACTTGGTTGGTTCTTCTCCTATAAGGACTTCAACAAGGGAGTTTAACTAGGAGGCCAGAAACACCGGGGCAAACCCCTTCTCTTAGCGATAAGTGTTACTGGGTTCTTTTACGTGCGTTAGGCCCTATACAACACACGGGACCTCCGGGCCCCGGCTTAACGTCCCATCCGAAGGACGAAGCAATAATGGTTAAGTGCCTTGCTCAAGGGCACAAGTGTCCGGGCCCGGGCTCGAACCCACGCCACTGTTGCCTCTGAAACACCAGAGCATGGGTCCGGTGCTCTTAACCGCTTGGCCATGACAGTACCCCCACTGTCAGTCTGTCACATCCCCTGGTCAAGTTCCCCTTCCTGATCCTCTTGGAAATATATATTTATACGATATGGAGCATCAAAAGTGGACAATCCAATTTCCCCATTTTCTGCCAGCAAAATCTTAGATTTTTAGAAGTCCTGACACCCGTTTTTGAAAAACTCAATTATCTGCCAGCAGGAATTTGGATTTTACTCTATCGGCACCC